TCCGTTGAATCAACCCCTGCAAATATAAGCCCCCCAGGGGCTTGTAATTGGAAATTTCCCTCAAATACAAAGTAAAACAGCAAAACGGTAAATTTCCTTCCTACTATAAGGCTAGCCCAATCGATTTTGAAACGCAAATTTCCCTCCATAGATAAGCCCCTCACATCATGGGTTCGAATCCCGGCGTGCGAACCTGAATTTCGTTCAGGCTTTTTGTCTTTTTTCAGAACTACTAGCCTACGCAACTTCGATGATCTGTCAAGCGCTAAATCTTTCTTCCTCAGCTCAAATGATGTAACCCGTTTCTCATATGCTAATGAGGCGCTCAATATTGTTATGACCAGCTTTTGTACTCACGGGCAATTCACGCTGGATTAGTACTGCACTTTTCCAAAACAAATCGACATAATTGACAACACAGTCTCCAGTCAGTACATCAAAGACCATCAAAGGGTAGTTTAAGGCCCTGTTTACATGCAGGTGGGGGACCCTAGGTAGATGGGGTGACCTGCTTAGGTGGGGTAACTCGCCTGTCCATATAATCTCTCATTTTAATTTGATCACGTTTTTTAAATACATTAGCCTGTTCGAAAGGGAAGGCGAAGGAAATTAGGGCGCCCAAATTCCCCCTTCCCCTTTTAACGCCTGCCACGCAGGCTATAAATACATGATAGGCGGGGGTGACCCGCCACACGTTACCTCTTCTATCTGGGGCCTCCCTCCTCCATGTAAACATGCCCTAAAACTGAAGTAGAACCACCAGCCAAAGGCAAGGGGGAGTGAGCCATAAATAAACCTTATAGGTTCCTGTTACGTTAGTTGAGAATGATGATAAGTTAATATTGTTTTCTAGTTGAAAATTTTGAAAGGTCGTGTCCTATCTTTCCTTGAATCACCATTTTATAGTACCATCATCTAAGTGTCGCCTAAAAACATCATTACGTTTCTGTCCACCTGCCCGCCGCATGGGATTTAGTTCAGTCTTATAAAATTAAAGTGTTTTTGAAGAAACTATAGGTGCAAACTAACTAGTTTAGTATTTAAATGAATATAAAAAGTCTTACCACCTTGTTTTCAGTTCGACTAAGTTGACGTTTCTAGCGCTATCGACCTTGTCGCCAAATGGAACACAATCAACTGAACAGGAATTTTGACAATCATGTCGATCCATGACTGCTAGGCATTTTATCAACAAGCAAAACTCTTCACATACTGTATCGTATACTTCAGCAGGTGGGGTATAATTTGATTAAAAATCAAAGTATTTTTAGTGTAGTTCTTTACTTTTTCTCTTTAAGCTGATATATTACAAGAAATGATCCGTACAGAGTTCGGCTATACTTAAAAACAAAAATCGGTGCTTTTTTACCTTGTTACCGGAGTTCAGATAGTGGCGACAGTGCAAAGAGAAAAAAGCAGGAAAACACAACGGAGGTAGGGAGAGAGGGAGAGTTCCATAATTTCTTTATTTCCGTTTCTTTCCTTCGTTTTTCCTCCGCTCTCCATTTCGCACCACTCTCCCCTATCGTATCTGAGCGCCTGGAACAGGCTCTTACCTTTTTCATTTAGCCTTTTCATTTGGTTTAAATTTTTCAGGGACTCTTTCCAGACAGAAAACTATCCCTTCAGCCGGACAGCATGTATAATCACATTACACCAGCCACAGGGTTTGACTTAAGTGAGATTAAATCTACAACCGCGGAAGTATTTTCTAGTAATCTTTTGCAAATCCTCTTACAAAATAAAGAAAATATTATTCTACTGATCTCCAAGAATGATTAATCCACCGGGAAGTTCTCACTGTATATAATAGTGAAAGAAGGTAACATGAGAATGTACGAGCAACACTTGAGGGTAACCTCTGCCCATCGAACTTTGTGGGGGCCTTGAAGTATCGTTTATGCGATAGGCTGTTTCTTATCTTTTTAAGCCTTTGTTGTTGTTGTTGTTACTTTCTTGCTCTATTGTTCCAGTATTGTACATTTTAAGCCCGCAGAAGTTGAATAAGTAAATGGTTCGAACAAGGAGTTTTGGATTAAGGTCGAGGAAAAGCCAGAGGAATTTCTGAAGTCTCTCAACAAAGAATAATGAATTTTTTTTTCTCATTCATACATATCCAGACACACTTCCTTTATCAGATTTGCCTTGCACCTGGGAAAACTATAAAAGTCATCAAAATCTACAGCGTTTTTTATGATTGTACAATACGAAAACAGGAAATCTAACAAGAATTGCGTCCCTTCAAAAGTCCTTGAGCGCGCGGGCAGTATTGCAAAATATGCGAGGTCAGAGGGTAACAGTGCAATGTTACCCGCCAATTGGCTGCTCGGCGAAATCTACCTTCATAGAATTATACACTGGTAGAAGTCTTAATTTCTTCGTGGGCTATGTAACAGGTCACTTAATTACTGGTCCTTTGAGAAACTAGTTAACTTTGTTTCCCAAGAATAATAGGCATAATTGAAACAATAACGATAGACAATTTCCTGTAGCATCGGTCGGTCGATTTTTGTTTACGTTTTAGGTACTTGTTTTCAACATACGCTATATTTTGATTTTATCAAGTATATTTCGACACGTTGACTCTCTCGTAACAGACAGGACATCTCTATAAGACGGACACCTAAACTATTAGTAGTATTACCCTGCCTTAATAGTTTTTCGTTAGATTCTTGGACAGATTCTTAATCGGCTCCAATTTAATGTATCCTTTTTGGAGAAAATTGCTGCTATATCAGTCTTTGTTTTTTGTTCAAACATTGTAACTTTAGATACTTGTTTTCAACATATTTTGTTTTAATATACATGTAAGGCCGAGGAAGAGCCAGTGGAATTTCTTAGCTTCAGTTTTTCCCTTTAATTTTTGAGGTCTCTAAACAAAGAAGAATGAAGTTCTTTTTTATTCATACATATCCAGACACACTTCCTATATCAGACGTGTCTTGGACCTGGGAAAACTATGAAAGTCATCAAAATTGACAGCGTCTAGTGTTTATGATTGTACAATAAGAAAACAGGAAATCTAACAAGAATTGCTTCCCGCCAAAAGCCCTTGAGCGCGCGGGCAGCGTTGCAAAATATGGGAGGTCAGAGGGTAACAGTCAGCGAAATTTACCTTCATAAAATTATACACTGGTAGAAGTATTTCTTCGCGGGCTATGTAACAAATCACTTAATTACTGGTCCTTTAAGAAACTAGTTAACTTGGTTTCCCAAGAATAGTAGGCACAATGTTTGAAACAATACTGATAAACAGTTTTCTGTAGCATCGGTCATTAAGTGCAAAAAGCTATCAATTTCTGTTTATGTTTTAGATACTTGTTTACAACATACACTATACTTTGATTTTATCGAATATATCTCGGCAAGTTGATTTTCTCGTAACAGACAGGACATCTCCATGAGACGGGTACCTAAACTGTTAGTGCTATTACCCTGCCTTAGTAGTTTTTCGTTAGATTCTTTTGTCGGCCCCAAAAGTCTCCACCTTGGACCCTTAAATTGACGCTATATCAGTCTTTGTTTTTTCTTTAAACGTTGTAACTTTAGATACTTGTTTTCAACATATTTTGTTTTAATATTTTATCTAGCGTATCTCAATATACAGTTTTGTTTTGTTTTGTGTTTTTATCATGAATGCTGGCACGTACAAGAGAAAAGTCTACCGAATATTTTATTTACCAAAAATCAAGATAATAATCGGTAGATAAAAAATGGTAGATAAAACCCTTAACCGTTCTTAGTCATACACCAGTCACAATAACTAAACATGCTCGATTCAACAAGGTTTAAAACTGGGAAATGGTAACTGAAAAGTGGGACACGGCTTTTGGATTCTATGTATAGTTTAATAACGTGTACGTTCTGTAATTTGCCCTCGATTTGCAATTGATAAGCCTCAGTAAGCAGCAGCTGCGGATTGAAGAAGACAATGTTGAACTGCGTTCAAGTGTTTAAAAAAAAAAAAAAATAAACTTTGGGGTTAATGAATAAGGCATTAGTTTGGGTGAATATTTCAGAGGACGCCTGTCGAGGAATACCAGAGGAAGAAGAGAACGACAAACGTAATGAAAAGAAAGTTTACAAACTTAAAATTGCATCAAGCTCGAAATATCCAAAATGTAGAAAGATGAAAGGCTTCTTAATAAGTTGAAGGGATGTCATTTTAAAACACAACATTACTGATAATCCTTCCTAATGACACCCAATACGCTAAGGTTTATATGTTGACTCAGTCATTAAATTAATGCCAGGACGTTTGATTAGTTCACATGAATTTTGTATCAGTCCTGTATACCTGACGTGTATACATTTGTCTATTTAGGACTGACTTGAACCTCAAATCATGCTTGTTCCCTTTCACCAGTGACGAAAATAACGCTTAACGTCGATAAAGGGATAAGATATTCTGATGCTTTTAATTATATATTGGGCCCATTTCCAATAAATGATTGTCTCGTTTAACTTGCTAAGCCGAACACTAAATACATGTAAGTCAGGTTCGACCATAATCTCATTATACGCGAGTATATCACGACACAACATCTCGACACATGTGACTGGGGAACCCAAGACAATCATGGATTCTGGATTCCACGTACTGGATTCCGGATTATTTGTTAGTGGAACATGGATTCCGGATTTCAAGTGTGAGAGAGGTTCCGGAATCCTTGAACTGTATTCCGCATTCCAAAGCCCAAGATTCCGAATTCCAAGCTAAAATTTCACGGAAATTCCACTGTGACAAGTACACTCTTGTGTGCAGCTCCTTTTGTTGTTAATGTTATTGCCAAAGCCATAATGGGGAAGCGAGTAAATAAGACTATTTCCCCTTCTAGATGAAAAGCTTTGGTTACGATACACAGTGGAGCTTAACATACGCTCACAACTGAAAAACCTCAGTATTTTTATTCTTTGAAATGAACTGACTTGATTCTTTAAAACACATTTTCTTGATTCTTTGAAACGAAAACTAGAAAAGGATCAAGTTTCAAGGAATAGAGGTTTTACTACAAAGAATCAAGTTTTCATAAGAAATTATCATATTTTCGTTTCAAGGAAGTAAATTGTATTAACGTTGAGCTTGATCATTAACACTAGCGCTATCCAATGTTTCAACAACCGGGGCCCAGATCTTTTTACCCTTAAGTATGGTTTCCTGGAGCGATAACATCGCCCTCAGATTTTCATGTTTTTAGAACTCGCAGGATTCTTCTCTGTGATCCTTGCCAGCTATCGTGAAGCTTTACTTATATGTTGCAGTTAACTGGAAAAAAATGGGTTGTGGTCACACCGCATAGCCTTTCCCAGCTGTACGGGTTAAGCCTGGTTCTCATATGCCACCGATGTGTCTGCGGCGTAGCCGCCGGTACCGCCTGGGTTACTTCTCGGACGAATGAGAACATGCGCTGCCGGTAACTAGAGCCATCGCAGAGCTTTACCGCCGGCATGCCTGCGAAGTTGAACTCGAGTCAACTTCGCAGGCATGCCGGCGGTAAAGACTAAAATGACCATATCGGAACACGGTATCCCAGGCAGTACCGGCGGTCGCCGATGCTTTGGCGGCATATGAGAACCATATGTTTTAATGAACTCTCACAAGAGTGACTAAAATCTAGAGACACTGAGATCTTAATCACCAGTGTATTGTTACTGAACGTCAACTTAATTTTGCAGATTAACATGCTAACTGATACAAAATCAAGAATTACGTTCAGGAGTGACGCACTTGTTCTGGCTCTCTTGTATTTCACAGTAACACAGTCGAAACTGCCTTTGAATGCCACTTCTCTACTTCTTTCAACCCCGTGGATACATTCAAAATTGTTTTAATCCCTCCAAAACGTCTCTTCTGCCCCCAGTTGGCCGTTCTTGACAGCTAGGTTCGACCATTACCAGTTTTTTCGGGGAACTCAAATTGTGTGGTTGACTATATGTACCACAAAAGTTCTCCCTATATCAACCTTCCACTGATAAATTGCCTTGGTCTGAAGAAGTATTTCGTTTAAAGTAAGCTCGGCTCATGAGACGAAACTACAGATGTAGTTCTACCTAACCTTTGGCCTGTGTCGTGGCTGGCAGGATCAAAGATCGGGAGCGCTTTTTAGACGCAGTGCCGCTGCGAGGAATTTATGCCATTCTTCAACAAAAGCACCTGTAAAATGAATCACGGAGTGACTCCGAACAAATGCCACCAGCTACGCAGACTTTCTAGCCCAAGAGTAGCTCTACACCGAAGCTATTTAAATTGAGTGTTCGTGCCCTGAGGAGAATAAGAGGATATATTGGTACGAGCAATTGGTTGGAGTCTGTTCATGCGGCACTGTCAAATGTAGTAGTCGCCTTTCATCTAGCTCACAATCAAAGTTCCCTCCAGTTTGATGTCAAAAGTTGTCGTTAACTACAAAGAATGCTTTGGCATAGAGCTGGCGGCTTTCAAAAGTTGGTCTCAAGATGGGATATTCGAAGTTTGCTGCCATACTTCTTCTCGTATTGATCTCAAGTTATTTACAGTTCTTTGTACAGAATAATTCATATGACCTTGGTTTGGAAAAGTAACCGGTGAACAAGTCAGTTGTGGGTCTATCACACTGTCATTGCTCGATGTTTGGAATATCCCCTTGAGATGATTAATCTAAAATCGGGTGTCACTTAAGTTTTCGTTGAGAGCTTTAGAGTTGTTTGATGCGCAGAGGCTTGGTAGTCCGGAGGAAAGCCACTCAGTCTCTAGCTTCGTTTGGTCTCTGTCATTTTGGTGGTGAATATGATCGTAATGTTGTTGATTTGTTTGTTTTTCTTGCTGAGAGTCCACGTTTTCAGTGGAACAGTTTTTGTCTTCGTTTGCTGCAGTGTACTTAGATTCTAAGTCATCACCACCGCTCCATGACTGTTTATCGCCTGTACAAGAAACCACGTTTTTCTGGTTGCCTTGCTGTTTGTCAGGAATTTCGTGTGAGTCCTTTTCTTGATTTACGATGAAGCGGGGAGATTTAAACGGTGTCACCTCAATTATTTTTACACGTTGCTCATGTCCACTAATTGGGAGTTCTGTTGTGTTTTGCTTAGTTTCGCTAGCGGTCTCGTCGTTGCCCAGTACATACTCATCTGCTGAACTTTGCTGGCAGCCAATCATGTCCTTTTCACTTTCCTCCTTTTTGTCTGTAGTACTTAGCGGGGTAAAATCCGAACACTTTTTTTCACTTTTCTGCTGGACTCCTCCGTTGAGTCGAGGAGACTCAATCTTGCCTTCACCGTCTTCTTGATCTGCAGTAATTGGCTGTTGAAAGGTTATACTTTTCCTCTTGCATAGATAATTCCCGTTGCTGTTGTTGTTCCGTTCGTCATCAGTCAAACTGGGTTTACAAGCACGCGCGTTTTCATCCTTGGTTTCTTTCTTATGAATGCTTTGTTGAGGAGATACTAAACTAGGTCTCATTGTCAAGGCAGGTCTTTTGTCACTGAGAGATTTAGACCTTCTGCGTTCAGAGGAAGAGCTGGAGCGGGTGGACTTTGTTGAAGACAAGCTGAACAATCTTTTCATTCGGTTAGATGCACGGTGTGCGTTTCGTTTGATCTGAAAAAAGATAGGAGTTGTTAATTGCCCAGCATCCTATAACAAAGTCAAGTTGATAATCTACAAGAAAATGGCCTCTGGCATCGCCGACGGAATTAAAAGTGTGATTCAAATTAAGCTAAAATCTAAAATGCCTCTATTGCTAATGACATGCATAACCAAGGTCGTTATTAAGGATGATCGAGTAGTCCCCTATTTTGCGCTTACCGTTACGGGCAGCCATTTTGGTTTCAACTGTACCCAGGGGAGGTCCCCCAAAGTAGATTCATACTCTTCCCCAGGCTAGACTCGGTACATTTGAAACCATGACCGCCCATAATGGTAAGCACCTGCCTCCTACTTAAGCGCTTCGTTTTTCGCACAGTTAGAGGCGAGCACAAAACACGAGTGACCGGTGACGAAGTGCAAGGGACCGTGATCCCGACGATGTTACGGAAGAGGTATACCATGGACATTCTAACAATATTTCGGTTTGTTTTTGGAACAGCTGGTATTAGCTATAGTCACTTTACATTTATCGTGACTACCCATATGTACTCACATCATCGTCAAAGAAGTATTGGGCGATCAAGAAATACACTCCCTGTGAAAAAAAATAAGAAAGAAAGTAAAGTACAAAACAAAAAGACGATGAACACTGCAAATAGTGAGATACGCCAAAAAAGGATAACCAGACACTAAAAATTAAGGTCTACGAGATCAGTGAACTGTTTCATAGAGGGGGAAATCTGAGCACCAATTTAGGCACTTACGAGAAACAGGCATTTGGGAGGAAATTTGTGTTAATTTGAGTCGGTCAATTGACTTGTTCAATCTCCCTGCCCGAGCTCCCACCCTCTACTCTGGTTTCATACTAACTAAAAGGGAACAGAAGCCGAAATGCATTCTGCAATTGTTTCTAGGATCGTTGCTGGGGACGCGCCGGTCAGCTATTGGTCAATTTTTTTTCCCGCCATTTTCCTTTTCATTTCTTAAACGGCGAATTATAACATAAAGCTTACCTGCATAGAGTTAATAACAGCAAAGAGATACTGAAACACCGGCGACTTCTCATGAATAGATATAAATCCGAGAAGCCAAGTCACACCTAACAAAGGCATTAGAATCACCGCTGTCTTAAACGCCGCCCTGAGGATAGATCACAATAAACTTCCACTGATCAACTTATCCTTCAGATTGTTAAGTAGCAGAGGGATTGGACAGGACCAGGAGCCTTTTAATAGGCTCCTGACAGGACAAAAGATGCTTGAAAAGCACGCGAGTTCTTACGTTCGACTCTAATGAAAAAGCCTTGTTTCCATATGATTTTCCCGATTGTCGTAAATTTATGGGACGATAGGAACTGACAGTTGTTTCCATGATTGACTGTCTTTATCGCCTGAACACATCCCAGGGGGGTACCCCCAAAAATGACCTATACGTGGAGGCTTCACCCGAAAGGGGGAACCTATTTCAGCCTTAGGTATATGAAAGGGTAAATATTCTCTCTTGCTAATTGAGGTATATGAAAGGGTAGGAAAGTGTGTCATTTCGGTCTGTGAAAAGTCCAGAAAAAGTTCTGGTTTTGGGCTTTTTGTATATTTTAAAGCCAGTGCATTTACAGCAGTTAAAAGGGATGCAAAGGTCTAAATAAGGTGTGTGAAAAAGTTACCATTTGTCAATCTGTCAATAGCAGCTATACGAAAGGGGAACCTCCTCGGTCAAAATTGGTATAAAAGGGTAAGGAGCTGGACTGGGAACACATTTTTAGACAACTCGGGAGATAGAGGGCTAGACGATCCAGGCGAATATGAAGAAAGCAGGTATAATAACACTAGGACATTTATAGCCTGAGAAAACGGACGACATTTTGCGACGCCACCAACGGTTCCTCCCCAAAATGACGTCTGAGAGACGAGCGCAGAAATTCCATATTAATGATTCGTCACTACCCAGATCTGGGTAGTGTTTCTGAATGGTCACAAGGCGTGGGAAGTTTGCTTCAACCAATCAGAAGCACTACCCTGATCTGGGTAATGACACGTCATCAGTATGGAATTTCTGTGCTCGTTTCTCAGACGTCATTTCGCGGAGAAACCGTTGGTTGCGTTGCAAAACGTCGTCTGTTTTCTCAGGCTAGGATATTTAAGATTATAATAAGTAAAGAAGGCCGGTTGTGAAGTTAAAAAAAAAGTGATAGCCGCATATGACCCATCCTCGGAGACCCATGGAAGTGGTCAGTCTGGTCGGTGGAAAAAAAGAATACTTTCTTAGCCTCTAAAACCCCTGCATTATCCCTCGCAGTCCCTTGCACTTAACAAAACTTAACTTGGCTTCATATTAAATATATCGTTTTCAACAGATCCGTCAAAAATAAGCAGAAACCACTGGGGGCTAAACATAAATGCCTACCTTATTTCAACTTGAAAGCTTGATGCTGTATTTTTTTGGTTCGGTTTAGCTTTGTAACGAGCCCTCCGTACAACAATCCTTATTGCCATCACGAGAACGACTAAGTTCACCTGCATGTGGATTGAATACACATAAATGATTACAATGTTGAAGTTCGGCGACCATTCGCCAGTTTAGAGACGCGAGAAGGAAATTGGTCCGAGTAAACTTTAGCAAAGACTGTCACTAAGGGATAGGGGGGAAAAAATTGAACAATAGGGAGCTTAAGCAGCGACGTTTTTGAGCGACGCACGTCAACCGGAAGTGAGGTATTTTCCCTCTTAACATGCCTTGATGATATAAAATTTGTATTCCTTAGCTTCTTTACTGTTATAGAGGCGATTTGACTGAAAATTTGCGCGAAACCACCGTCAAAAAATGAAAAAAGGCCACTTCCGGTTGACGTGCGTCGCTCAAAAACGTTGTTGCTTAAGCTCCCTAATAGCTGACCAGTGCGACCCCAGTAACGATCCCAGAAACAATTGCGGGGCACATTTCGACTCCAGCTCCGTCTCGTTTCTTAAGTGGCGGATTGATGTAGCATGGCTTTTTTTATGCAGTTTAGCTAATCAGGCCTTAGCGTCCAGGCGATGCGAATTTGGAAATCGTAGCGTTGTAGAGAGATTTTTACTTGAGCAAACGTGTACGTCACCCAGAATTGCGCGATACATCCGGGAATTTTTGCGACCACATAACGGTAAATTTGAAAGCTCGTTAACAAAAGTAGGTATAGAGCTACAAAGAAAGTAGGTCAGAAATAGTCAACACTGTACTTGGAAATGCAACGTTTTCAGGAAAACGGTTGAGTTTACGAGTTAGCTTTCATATTGATTTTCAAGAAAACTTTATTATGAATCATATGCTGCTGTTTTCAGCAGTAGCTGTTTGGGAGAACGACTACAACAGCAAAGTAAAATAACTAGAGACTCTCGTACTGTGCACAAAGGATAATACAGCACACAATCATTGCCAGTAACGATACCTAGACGAAAACCCTAAGTGCGACCGACTTAAATGTTTCAATTGAGTTTTAATTCCTTTTTGTATACTAGAGTAGTTTATGATTTTCCAGTTTTATCCCTAACGGTTAAAAGTTGTACTTCTTTGGGTTAAACTTACTACTCACCGCAAGAACGCCCGCCACAGGTCCAGCAAACGCCCAGATTAATCCATGAGAAAGCCAGCAACTGTGAATTGAATGGAAATTATATGTCTTATAAGAACTTATCTACCCCTCTTATTATTCATTCAAAAGATTTCGCCGTTTTTGATTGGTTCAAAGGCCCCGGCTAATTCTTCATAACCAACTAGCGTTGACCAAATTTGGAAGATTCTCACAATATACCATTAATTTGCCTGGAAACGACGCTACATGGGCAATAGATCATCGCCTCGGTGAATAACAGTCTCCTCGATCTGCATAATTCTTCACATCGCACTCAGCCTCATTCAATAGAGAGCTTTAGATTCGAGGACGAAGACCACTACGAGTACGAGATTTTCTCAATACAAAGTAATGCGCGCGCGTAAGCCAGGGTCATTTTGGCGGGACAACGTGATCTGCTGTTACATAGAAAAATTGTACAGTGGAAGCTCTCGTAACGGACAGTTAGCGGACTGCTCTACTTACGGCCACCTTCACAATAGGCCGTTTAACTCAACTCCCATACAAACTGTGTGTTTTTCATCATTCCCTTAAGAGGTCAGCTCCAGTCAAGGACAAGGAAGTGCACTTAAGAGCCGAACTTCCACTGTACTATCAAATTAAAGTGAACGAATGAATTTAACTTACAAATTCTCTCGGAGGAACTGATGGCGAAAAATACTTGATATCACTGCCACAACAATCACTGGAAGCCCTAAAAAGATATCAAAGCATGAGTCGTTTATACAATCAAATCAGGAGGTAGCCCGAATATATAGCCGTCTCTCCCACAAAACGTCTCAAATCGGCGAGGAACGAGGAGAAACAGCTGTATTCGCTGAGTAAATAAGGAGGCTTCTAGTGTCAATTTGATCTCCTACACTCCATTGCTACTCACTGACCAGCCCACAGTGACTGATCCAAAGGTTACTTCACACCCAACCCGGGCGGGTAAGGATCCCTTACACACAATACACGACAATAAGAGACAACTCGCCCCGTGGAAGATAATCCAAGACAGTCTTGGATTCCAGATTCCTTACAGAGCAAGGGTGGCGCAGTGGTGAGAGCTCTCGCCTCCCACCAAAGTGGCCCGGGTTCGAATCCTGGCCTCGACGCCATATGTGGGTTGAGTTTGTTGTTGGTTCTCTCCCTTGCTCGGAGAGGTTTTTCTCCGGGTACTCCGGTTTCCCCCTCTCCGTAAAAACCAACACTTTCAAATTCCAATTTGATCTGGAACACACGGACACCACGTTGTTGGTTCTCTCCCTTACTCGGAGAGGTTTTTCTCCGGGTACTCCGGTTTTCCCCTCTCCTTAAAAACCAACACTTTCAAATTCCAATTTGATCTGGAACACACGGACACGTTTAAGCGAGTTCTCATGAACTCCTAAGTGCTCCGTGGGTAGACAAATTACAATTTTACAATTCGGATCGCGGATTCTTTGTAATTAGAACTTGGATCCCTGATTTCAATCCCTAGCCGTATTCCGGAATCCTCAAGCTAAATTCCGGATTCCAAAGCCTTGACTTTCAAGCAAAAAAAAACCAGTTTCCGCAAAGCGGATATTTACTTACGTGAGGCGAGACAACCTCAAAAACACACTTCCGAGATTGCGGTTACTTGGTCTGTATCAGTTTGTCAGTAAAAGATTCATCAATGAAGTGGTAACCCTGCAGACCTGTCGGTCCGTCTGATTTCTCAATCTCAGTGTCCGTCAATTATACAACCCCATTCTCCGGACAGACCGAAAACAGGTGGGCAGAGAAGTTGCGTTTGACATTGAGACGTGCGACTGTAGTCGTTCAGACAAACGTGACTGATCATAATCTCATGCCATCGTCTTTCAAGTCAGGCCGGATTATGGTCAGATGGCGCCGAAAGTGGTTGTCTGGGTAGGAACGATTGCCACTCGAAGGGTGATGTTGTCGGAAGGAAAAAGACATGATCAGTTACGTTTGAAACGTGCGAAAATTGTGTTAAACACAGCTCCTCTGCCCCCTGTGGCGCAATATACTTGGGAGTCTGCGGGGTAGTCTGAGTCATCCGGTCAGTAAATCAACTCGATTATGAGGCGTCGTCAAGATTGTTAACAGTGAGTAGTCTGTGTACAACCAGCCCAGCCCGTCAAAGAGAACCAGGGAAGAGGCGGCCGGCTGTACACAGGCTAAAAGTGAGAGGTTAGTCGCCCCCTCAAGGGAAATACAATACACTATTGGATTCGGGGATTCCTGATTCCAGGTACAGTCAAATCCCGCTTTACGGACACCTCATTACGTCAACTCCCTTTATATCGGACACTGTAGGGACCTTTAGTTAGTGTCCTCAAGAGCAAGAGTCCGTAATAGCGGGAGTTTTCCTTGTCAAACGTCTGTAAATTATTTTTGCTTGGGATCAAGCTGCTGTCCTTATAATCGGAGTGTTTGTCAAAGCAGGGTGTCCGCAAGGCGAGAGTTGACTGCATTACGGACAGTTTGCTTTGTCCTGGAGGAAAAAAGCCCTTAAATTTTCTTTAAATTCAACCTGCTTAATCCAGATACACCGTTAATACGAACACTTTCTATGGCAACCTTAGGTCCGTATTTACTGGGTTTCTCTGTATTGGATTTTGAGTGCGGATTGTGGATTCTAATCGTCTGAGGGATTCCAGATTCTTTGAACTGTATTTCGGATTCCAAAGCCCAGTATCAGAAGATTCCGCGAAAAAAATTTCCCCGGATTCCGGATTTCACAAGCAAACATTTCCTTGATTCCGGAATTCGAATTCCCTTATACATGGGAGAGGTCAGCTACCAATCGGGAGCAGAAAAAGTAAAAGAATGAGACTCACCCCAAGCGAAGAGGTAGTAAGTTTTTAACCGGCTGGTAACTCGAAAGACTTTCACCAATCCACGTAATAGATTAATGCCCTCCACCAACATCCAACAAAAAGATGCCAGTTGAAAATAAAACAGCAAGACGGCGACGGCAAAACAAACCCCCTGTTAAAACATTTGGAGAAGTAACATCACCCTTGGTCTCCATGCAATAATGACAAAAGGACCACAAGGGATAGAATATTGACTAAAATTGTCAACAATTGTCAAAGATTTCCATAATTAAGAATAAATTTTTCACGTTGCTATAACAACTAACAAAGAAGTGAACTTCGAGTAGGTACGTGCTTTCATAAAATTGGCACGTCGGCCTTCAAAACTAGTCTACGTGTGGCTATACCTAGAGCCGGAAAGGCCTATATAAAGTTCTAGTGTAATGAGCGCAAAAATCTTTGAGGAAGCGTGTATTTTAAAGAAACGACAGCCATAGCGATTATCTTGAACGACAAGGGCAATCTTCTCGCGATTATGACAAGACTATGACAAGATTTTGCGCATGCGCGAGTTCGTGACTTACTAGCATTTCGTCCAGAGGGCTGTTTCTCAAACATTTCGTCCACTTACTAGACTCGGGGCCATGTTTTAAACAAACTTTAACACTAAGGCGGGTCTAGCCCATAAAATAGACCAATATATTCCATTGACTTATGTTTATGGCGTTGCTTACAATCTTTAATGTCAATCACTGCATGCATTAAATAACCTTTCGGGCGCGGACGTTACAACGGGACGTTTTAGAAATGCATCCTAAGTTAGGTACGTGCTCTTGACACTTAAAATGGGACAAACATTAAGCAAAATTTTGGATAATCATAAGAGTGTTTTTAACTGGTGAATAACAAATGGCAGGCGGGTAGGTTTAAAATAATTAGGTGATGGCAGGAGGGAAAGATATAGCCTGCAAGCAAGCTGTCCCGGGGTTCTCGGGGGTACCGGGGGTGGGGGAGGGAAGAGGTTAGGGTTAGGTCCCTCCTTTTTCGCCCGGCCGCCCGAGCGCTCCGGGAGAGCTTACTCGCAGGCTAGGAAAGTTATAAATTAAAATGTGAGGTGAACAATTTTAAAGTAGACAAAGAAAAGATAATACGCTACTTTTTCAAAAGACTGCGAGCAGTCTCTATTTTTCCTTCAGATTTAGTGAGGGGAGTGCACGTGCACGCAGGCGTCGAGCGGTGAAGCCGCTCGCGCGTTTTGCTCGACGGACCAAGAAAAAAGAGAGACTGCTCGTAGTCTACTTTTTCAAGGTGCTCCTTAGCCCATTAGTGGACTGACTGGTTTATCTGTATACCCTTTCCACATTTGGGTGGTATTATCAATTTCACCCCTTTTCAACAAAACACCCTAATTCCCCCTTGGGAGTAGTTCAAGCTGTAGTTCCCGTTATTTTAGAAAAAATGCGGCCGGTTGTATGTTGTGGCCAGTCGCACCACTGTTAGAATATCCACAGCTATAGCTATCACCTTAGGGAACTACATGTTATTGAATGATGAAGGTCAAAGTGAAGAAGCGTGTTCATACCTTGATACCATTGGCAGCGTAGGCAATAAGAAAGAAAAAAATGGCCAAAGCCTCAGCTACAGCGAGATGCATATGGATAGACGTGGTTTCTGTCCGTCTCCTGTGTGTGAAAAATTGACCAATATCATCTATTACCAGTTTGTTTTTACTTAAGGTGATTCCCTAGTAAAAGAACCTAACATAGATTGTAGATGAAACTTGGTACACCGATGTAACAAGTCAAGAAGATGATAAAAAGGTAATAAAAAGTGGGGGTCACCGTACTCGTTTTGACGTCACAATGCTGACAAATACGGCTATTTTGGACCCTTTGACAAAAACCGCGCGCAGCCCAAAACTAGACAAAAAGGAAAGATTTTTTCAATGCTGCATGTGGTATCGCACAGAATTTGACTTTAATGTATTGTTTATCCACTTACGTACCAGAAAAATGCCTTGTAATGCTCTTGTTTTTTCTTTACGCTCCAAAGTAGAATTAAATTGGACACGCGCTATTCGACCCGTGATAGCTCAATCCGTACAATTTAGTAAAATTGCCAAAAAACTGAACATAGATTTGTGCCAATTTTTTTCTAACCAAAAGGAAGCACTCTCCTTATTAAAATCATGAAATAAAAAATGGGGGTCACCGTACTCGTTTTTGCGGTAGAGCTACAGAAAGTGCGCACCAAATGCATTTTCCTTGATTTTTGAGAGAGGACTGGGGCGAGTTTCAAAATAGAATGTATGCGAAAGGGGGAAGAAAGTATTAAAAAATCTGTTTTGACAGAATTTACATCGAGATACCACATTTAGGACACAGTGTGATAAAGAAAGCGTTTAAATGAAAACCAAAGTGAATAAGCACAAATTAAACATCCACCATCGAGGTTCTCCGTGAGGAAGTCGAACTCAGCAACACGCGTACTGCTTACGTTATGCACATTCCCACCAAATTGAGTCTCACCTCGGCAAGAAACAACCGCAAGCAAAAAATGCAATAGCATTTCTCTTCAGTCAACTTCATTTTAATAATGTTACTTCACATGCTCTCTTTTACGGAGGCCATCTTGTTATGCGCAGTAAGAGATGCGCAGTGCAAAACCAGGGAATCACCTTAACAGTAATTATGCATTTTTACAATAACGGGTATCTACCAGATGGCATCATAATTTAATTGTAACATTCTAGTCCTCTGTCCTGGCATTGCATGCGTTATCAACTGGAATAATCAGGGTGTAACGGAAATAGCCTGCGTAACAGGCGGTTTGTTTGACGAACGGGGAAAAAACCTTACGAAAGCACGCGCGAACGAACCGCGAAGCCCAGCCCCATTTTCCTCGCGGCTTCGCCGCTGATTTGAGCGCTCGATAAACAGGAAAGTTCTGGTAAGCAAGATATCACGGAAAGGTTGTGGGGACCTGATCATTTGTGTTAATAAATTAACGCCAGTTTTTATTACCTGAGAAAGTAAAATGTACAAAGCAGAATGATGTAGCAAACGAATGCTATCAGACATCCGACAATCGAGACAGTGGATAAAACAAACTTATCCTTCTCGGAAATGGCATCAGATTCCTGCGGAGACCAACAAAAGAGACAAAGAACAAAATGTGGGGTTTACTGTGCGCCCCTCAATTTTTTAAAATGCCCCAGGTTACTGCGGTAAAGTGAGATAGAAGTTTCGGGGATAGCTTTTTTCTTCAGCGATTAAATCTTTTCAATCTGACAGCCTGGTACTGTAACCCTTTTCAGGAGGACGAGCTAAATATTTCATCAAGCTCAATATCTAGAAATATTTGTAAAAAGCCAATAAACTCTCGCTGTTACAAATACATTCAAATCAAGAGAGTTTGGGTCTAGAATAGGGTATTATCTTGCAGGAAACTGATCGGTTGGTTGAAGTTTTTAATCTAAGCTAGGAAAACCGAACATTGCCCCTTACAAAAATGAAATCGCAAATTTAAATTTACCTGTAACTCATAGCAAAGAAAGCGTTGATAGATGGAAAATAGCGCCTCTAGGATAAGCGGGCCATTAGGAGTTTAGTCTATAGTGTAGGGAAGCAAATTTCAGATGTACTAGGTTTGGTATAGGCTAAGGTTTCCGGGGTACCAGCTAAACATCCCAACCCCCAAACTGCTAAGTACCCCCCGTCTCCGCCTCTCGGGACATACACCCTAATAGAGAAATACATGTAAATTCAAACTTACAAATGCTCCGTGTACATCCATAAGAACGGCATAACTAGTCATGTGATAACAGTGACACTCAGTATAGGTAAGGTCCTGGCGATAAACAACACATCCTGAAGAGGACCAGGAACTGTCAAAAACAGAGGAAAAGAACGGTATTTACTATGTGCTCCTGAAAAAAACTGGTGATTTCCAAAAAAAAAATTCTACCATCTGATCTGTGAAAACAAGAAAAAATAGTAAGTTAGCACCACTCTCCGACTTCCGTTGTGTCCTGAGTGGTCGCATTTCCTTGTCAAAAATGTGGGATAATCTTTTTGTATTGTGTAGTTTTTTCACGTGTTGACAAGTATGGAAGAACTGTAACAATGACTGAAGTGGGTGAACGCTTTCATTTCATAAAGACGATTTTAGTTAACAAGCAACACTTACTTATTAGTTGTATCCAGAAACGCACAGACCCTCTGAGAGTCAGCATCAGCCTAATTAAAACAATGGGTTTCACTTTTGGTGTCTTTAGCTTCAAACAAAGCAACAAAGGCAGCAGCAACAGTACCAAAAACTCTCGCTTTTAACAGAACCCGAAGGGGGAGGGAGGGTTACATAAGGACAATAGGCATGCCGATTTTTGAGGGTACGCGACGTCAATCGCCACCAGAGTAGGTGGGAGGAGAGAAACTTTTATTCAGTGTTGTCAAGAGAGAATTCAGTAGTCTTCATTACAATATTCTGCATTGCTTGCTTTGAGGCAGTCGCGCGTGGACTTGACGGCGTTTCAAACAATCGATCAAAATGTGCGGAAGTATCAGGAAGTAGACTTTGTCTAAAAATAACTTTGGTAAAATTCATGTATCCCGACCAACGCCCTAAGATTGCCGCTCTTACTATTCTCTTAAACCTTTTTCATCTTCATGTCAAAGTGCCCCCAAATTAGTAGGCCATCATTAGTTAACCTAGTCAGGGCCTTCTTTCTTCGAGTCAGTAAATTATCCATCTTTAAGATACCTGTCTTTAATGTTGCTACTAGAAGTGGTTGTTTACCTTATTATCTGCTGAGAGTCTGATGATTACAGGCTCGCTCAAATTGTCGAACTTGCTTCCATTACTGAACAAAATAGTGCTTGCAATAATCCCTGAGATCAATACTCTGTTAAATAGGGACAAAAAAATATTTATGACAATGTTATGTCCACCGCGAGAAACTGCGCTATTCATTATTAGATATTGTGTGTGTGTGGTTTAGATTTAAAATATTTTGAGAGAGAGGTGTCGAAAAATCAAGTAGTACCTGTTATTTTTTGGATACCCTTTGGAGAAGACTTGCCACTAAGTCGCGAGTAGTAGTTTAAGAAACTTTAACCTTTGGAGGTCCTTAACTGTTACTGCAATACCTCTTGTAATGACGTTCATTTGAAATTTTAACAGTACCAATTAATCCTCACATTTTCCCGCCTGATGCGTTTCAAAGTACACCCCTCTCATTTGAAAAGAGGAGCATCCACACACACACACACACACGTGGGCAGAGCTCAAACTGTAGACAAAACAAAAATGATTTTGTTTGCGCACCGTTTGGTTTGAGGATCCGCTGTTGCGCTGACAGTGGGAAGAAGAACATGGGTAACGGAAACTCCATCTAAAACAACAAACAAATATCAAGTTAAACAAGACTTAACACATCTATGTATTTCATAAAAAGGGCAATAATGATTTGAATGATTAGATTTCTTCTGGAATATTTTTTCTTGTATTTGCAGTCATATAGTTCAAAGACGCTTAGTTTGATAATCGTAATGTGAAACGAGATCTTATACCTTGTTAAAAAGATCAAACTTTCCTGGACCGAACGTTATCATATCAGCGGGATTTCTCTATGCCCTAATTACGTCTTAGGGATGACCACACCCAGGGGACTGATTGAAGTACAAGAACCTCTGCGATTTGAACCGTGTCTTCCTTATAACGCCATTATTAGAATCTGAACTTATTATGCACCGTGATCCTTAGGTCAATATTGTTGCGTTTGTCCACCTTTCTGAAATATGGAATCTACTGGCAGAGACGTCCTATTTTTCTTTTCGGGGTAAGTGAGTGAGGTTTCCTTGATCGACCTCACTCTTAAGGGAGCAACAAATATAAATCCAAAACAGCTTCTCTCAGTATTTTATAAAATAAGTGTACAATGATCACCTGAGCTCTGTGCTTTCCATATTAAAGATGTAGGCAGCTTGATTTTGTTGGTTTCTGTGTCGTCTTGTGGGAAAGACACAGACATCGTACTATTTTCAGCAGAAGCGGAAGGTACAACATCGATTCCAATAGCTACGACATCAAAGTACAATTAGCCGTCATGACTACTTCTATCAATGAGGGGATGAGGCATTTCGAAGCTTGAGATGCGTGTATGGGTAGGTGAACAAAGGGTGATGACATGGGAAATGATTTGTGACTTGGCATTGCCCTTCATAACCTGTCCTACTTCGAAAGTTTTAATACAGTCGAAACTCCCGTAAGAAACCGCCAAAATGCTACCTCGGACTTCGCAGGCACGTAAACGCGCAAAGGAACACGGGAATGCATATGGCCATGAGAAGATGGGGTGTCCGCTACCTTGCTCTTCCCAAGGTGCCTTGCGTGCTTCGAAACTTCTTTCCCAAGGTTTGCCTTGCACCCGAGGACTAAAAGGGTAGTTGTTTGTTAGCGTTAGCCGCGTATGGCTGTATTTTATAACATCCCTTGACAGCTGTGTGCGTAAGGAGTGAAATACTCACCAAGAGTGTTCGTTGTTATTTGAATGCTCTTTGCCTCCGTGATATTTCCTCCTCTCTTCAATCCGCTGACTATCAACTCACCAATCTTCTCACCCATTTTAACTGCTTCTCCCAGGTCAGCTGGGGACTGAAATGCGAAGAAAATAAAAATCGTGGAAATAAATCGTAATAAAAGTGACTCGTGCTTTTATTGGTTAGAAGTCAAGTTAAGTTGTCGTTATTGTGGCAGGTGATCTTTTGACCCTCAGATTCGAGGACGCCCGCGAGGAAGAGATTTAACTAAGAGTTTTTAAACCTAAAAAAAAAACCGAAAAAATTCATTGCGCTATTTTTCACCAGAAAAGTTAGCACTTTTTTGAAGGAGGTTAAGCTCCTTCCCGATTACAAAAAAAGAAAGAACTCTGGCATTTGAAAACCGTCACTGCGACAGTTTTTGCTAAAACCCGTGGTAGAATGCGACGGCTATCACGTTTTCCCGCCAAAATTACGCTGGTTCACGCGCGCATATTATTTAGAATCAAGATAATCTCGTTCTCGTAGTCCTTCTTTTCTTAGCTAGAATCTGAAGGTCTCCATTATTTCACATCTTAAAGCTAACACGTACCAATGACTTTCCACCAGTTGACCAGGAACCTAGTGCGCTGTCCAGATCTTCACCTAGCTCCTAAAAACAGAAATATTATCAACACTTATAGCCAAAAGGGTTGAAGGGACGTTTCTCTTGAGATTAGTGCACGCCCAGATTGTAGTTCACAATTTCCGAGACAAATTCAGGCCCCCATTCACATTCCGAATTTATATGGCTTCATCTACGGAGTGATTAAGAAACGAGCTAATAAGTCAGTTAATGATTGCCATCAGTAAGAAATATAATATCATTTCACTTAATGACAGTATCTTGCTCGTAACGCTTTTCAGCAGGTTCTTCTGTAAAGATCACGAAACATAACGCCAATGCAAACAATCGACACGCAAGGCAAAATGGGAAGGTGAAACGGCTGATCGGACAGCTAAGGGTTGATAATTTACAAATTTATTTGCCCAATGTTTCGACTAGACAAAACTAGTCTTCATCAGGGGCCAGAAGAGCTTTGCGAGCTGCTTATGAAGACTAGTCTTATCTAATCGAAATATTGAGAAAATAAAGTTGTAAATTATCAACCCTTAGCTGTCCGATCAGCCGTGCCTTCAGTTTTAAGTGTTATTTTGTATTGCTGATCCTGATCTTCAGCAAGATCCGGCCTTCCCTCTCTTCTGTTTGTCCAAGTGGTTCTTGCAAGAATTGTCCGCTAATGGGAAGGTGAAGACTAAGAAACGAGTCCCTTATGGACCTTTCCCTAAGAATGACATGAATGTCCTAGGTAGCAGTGGGGAGATTAAAGTAGTTTTATGGCTATGGAGACTGTACTATTAGGTTTTTACAGAAAGGAGCCTGCTTTTTATTATTTTGGATGCCGGATAAACCATTTACCCTACACCATATCTTATTCATCTTCATCAATATCTCATTCACTTTATAGAATGCGGGGAGTGAAAACTTTCCTTAGTTTTTCCTACTTGCAACCTTGTTTTAGTAACAGAGTTATTCGATGAGATGGTGTGCCAGGGCGTAGAAGGAAAACGTCAATCTTAAAACAAAATGTTGTCTTTACCAATCTCGGTCCCAGGACTTAAGAAAGAGGCCCTGGAAACGAGGCTGCGATATTTACCCTTCATACCTTCATGTATTGCTCAGCAGATGAATCATTCAATGTTGCCCCCTCAAGTGCAGCGAGTCGCTCATTCAGCTTGTTGAACGCTTGGTTCGTAGGATCGTCAGTTGAGAAAATCTTTTTCAAAGAAATGATGAAAAAAGATAATCACGATTAGAAGGCAAAAGATAGAAATGACAGGCAAAACACGGTTGTTTGTCTTTTTTTGGTCTAAGATGCTAAGATTCTTTTCGCGAAAATCTTACATTTTGAAATAATTAATAAACCTTACTTTCTCGTTATTATGTTCCATGACAAGGGGTGGCACACTAACACGCTTGTCTGTCTTTTTTGTCAAAAGTGCAAAAAATATTCGCGAAAATCGAAAACAACATTTTGAAATAACGAGATACTCACCGATATCTTAGCCGTCGTAGGACTAGGGATAGAAGTTGTCGTAGGACTGGTAGGGGTAGAAGTTGAAGGACTGATATTAGTACTGGTAGTTCCTGGCCTCGTCTCGACAGTTATTTTAGCTAAAAGAGAAAAAATAATCAAACATTTTCTCATGAAGGAGCTATACGTCCCCTGTCCTACAAGGTACTATGTACACAGGCCACTTCCGAGTTCCAAAATCCCTTACTTTCAAAAGAAACTGGGCCAAGTGCACAACCTTTCTTGTGAAAACGATTTTTATTTGCATGAGAATGAAAAATCATTTTCATATCAGAGGCTGAGCACTTAACTTCGTTTTGATACAGAGGCTCGGGGGAACTCGGAAATGGCCTATTCATAAAGAAAACTCTATAGTCAGAGGTTCTATTCTGCCAGTGGTTCGCGAACTAAACTACTACACCAAGACATCATGTTTCAGTCATCAGCGAGTGTCAATCATTAACTATTTAAACCAATGAACGGTATAAGTAATGTCAACGCATTCATTTTTGAGAGAGGAGCACGCAGGCTGGTAAAAAAGAGGCGCCTAGGGGAGTACAAGAGACAAACGTACGGAACAAAGGTTCCTCTGAGAGATAAGAGGTATAAGAGAAGATAAAGCAGATTCTGGGTCACATAAATTACACTCAATCCATCACCGTTCATTGGACCTATTTCGAAAACGGCGGCAGTATGCGATTATAAATGCGAACACAAACTCATTGGGATGTGACTTTCTTCGGCTCTCGTTCTTCAAAGAGAAACCTTAAGGGTGGGGCTATCGATTTGGAATACTTGTGTAAGTTATTTTTTCATTCTCTGACCTGTTGTTGTTGTTGTTGTGGTCGTTGTCGTTGCTGTGTTTGTTTGTTGTTGTTGCTGCTGCTGTGGCTGTTGCTGTTTGCAAATAAAGAGTCGTTTCACTCCACACCAAGTTTCGACCATCCATTGATGAGTGTCATTGTAAAAAGCGCATTTCTGGGGCTCTCCGCTTGCAGGGAGCGGTGGTTCTTCTCCCTGGAACCAGTTTGTGTAGTTATAAGGTTCTTTGCGCACCCACTTCCAGGCAATGTTGTTGATTGTCGTCCGCAGTCCAATGTAAAATGATTCGCTTTTACGAAGGTGTGTTGCATTGATGAGGTAATCCAAAAAATTCTCTTCCTCTTGGCTTAGTACACTTGTCAAGTCCGAATAGTTCTGCTTCTGACACCATTGTCTTGCTTTCCAAAACGAAAGTTTTTGAGTAGTGTGGTTGTACGCGTAGTAACACGAAGTTCCATGTCTTACCCAACCGTTTAAACAGGCCACTGAAAACAGCAGCAGTACTCAAGTCAATACTATTTTACGATTTTGTTATCAGCTAGTTTGCCAAGTAATGCAGCCTTTTGACTGAAAATAGGACAAAACAAAAATTTGTTGTGGTCGATATGCCCTACTCAGTACAGAACGAAAACGAAAGAAAGGAGGCGAATTCAGGGGAAAAACAATAGTTTCATTCTTAGCAAGTTTTATGTAGGCTGCTTTGGAAATAGTCGACTGTTTTTAAAGAGGACAGAGAAGGACTACTTTAACGTGTCCAACTTTTCACTATAATTTCCCTTCAATAGGTCACAAAGGCCCAAAAGATCGTGTTCAAGTCCAAAATCGCCCAATCGACTTGATTCCTACAATTTTTCGGAAAGATATAACTGCCTGGATTTGCCAAAACCTGGCTACTAAACATTTGCAGTCAGTTGTCAATGAACAAATTGAGGCAAAATCGTCTGAATGTTCTGGGTCTTACAAGCGCCACAATCACAACAGTGTAGGAAAAGGAGAGGAAAAAATGGGCGCAGAGCGAGGAGAATGGGAGAGGGCAACGTGGCCAAGCGGTTAGAACGCCGGATTTGCAATTCGGAGGCCTCGGGTTCCCCGAGTTCTGACCGCTGGCTGACCGTCACAGTCGTCCCGAGTTCAAATCCTCGACCAGGCTTGTAAATAGCCAGCTGGTTTGCCTCCGGCCAGTTGCAGGATTCTTAAACCTGTTAATTGTTTGATTTCAACTTTTTGTCTCAGTCATTTTCTCGGCCCCACTAGCATACGTGCTATAAATACTGCCGAGGGTAAATAAACTTAGAATTATTATTGTTAAATTGTTGTTGTTATTATTATACAACAAAAGAAAAAAAGGAATGTTGCAGGATAGGTGTTCATATTGGGTTTTTCCAAGGTTGTTGCTGAAAGAAGAAACCAAGATCTCTCCCACTGAAAGGTAAGGCAAGTGTAATCGACAAAAGCGACAGAAAGGCTTGGGTAGAAACAAGCCAGTACCGAATCCAGGCGAAATCTAACTGTTTCTTCCTGTTCATGTTTTGTAATGCATCCCAGCCAGGACGGTACTCAAAAAAAGAACTTTGGCGAAAGGATACGAGATTGTTTGCACTACTTTGTTTTTAAATTTGCGCGACCAGAGAAAAAACAAGGATGCTACAAATCGGAAAAAGTACAAGCGTTTACTCGCTGAGAAGGAGACAAAAGTACTGGTACGAAATCGAATGTTTATTAATTCCGTTCCGGAAGAAGAGCATTTATAGGAACCTATGGGCCTTTTTTGAAACAGGTAAAAGTCGTCTACACATAAAATGTGATCCAAGTCGTTCTTCTTTTAAAATCTTTATCCGTCAGCTTTTCGAATTTATATTTGGCACTCTTGTAAACAGGCCTTAAAAATATTGATACGATACCTTCGATTCACCGATAAGGTGTCAGTGCATATTAAAGGACTATGTTAACGCTCCGTTATTTGGCATTAAACCTGTGAAATTAGTTGTGAATGACAAAGTAATTGCTTCATCTCAAGTATCATATCAAAGTTACAAACAACAAGACTGAACTTTGAAAAACTTTAAGGCTGACAAGTTTTCAAAAATCACGATAGCAATCCGTTTCCATCTTTTTCAGATTTGTCCGTGCCTAATCTTATTTCTTTGCTGCTTTAAGGCTTGAAGACTTCACTAATCAATTGGCTGGCTTCTAAGTCGAGTAAACTTAATAGTCAACAATTAAGAAAGAGTGTTTTGTCCTAAAACAAAGCACGGTGACGATGCTCTTATTTACACCTCGCTGGATGGAGGGAGAGAATATCGTAGTGAAAGTTCCTTACCCCATCAAGTGAACAACTCGACAGCGAAGGAACCCCAGAATCGAACCTCCCAATAAATTGATGTACATAGAGGATCGATAGATCTTCATTTCTAGTTTGGTCCGAAACTTCTTTGTGGAAACGAAACATAAGCTAAGTGATTAAAGCTTAAGAATCATATTTTTAGTTTTTTTCCAGGTCTTCATTGTTCTTTAAGATTTGTTTTCAATTTTAAGACTGATGCGAACAGCACGAGGCTATGTTTTCATAATTACATAGCAGCACGAGGTTAACAAAACTTTTACAGACAACACATCAGAAACATAATTTTTTAATTTATATAGTTAACGTCAACTAACTAGTTTAAGCTATCGACCTCCTGTACGTGAGTTTCGAACGCAATTAAAGGTCTTTTATAAGTGCTTGCTTATTCTAGAACCTGCTTGTTGTAAAAACTAGTACGCAAACCTAAAATTATGGAGATGTCCTCCTTAGTCTTCTTTTGTATTTCGTTGGTGTTTAGATGGCTATAAATTCTTGCTTTTGATGAACTTAAATATCACGCCAAACCCTATTTTTCGTTGTAGTGTGAACAGGGCTTAAGTAAGAAACAGTTTAAAATATCAATATCAACTGGGCCGTATAAAATCGAACAACTAGTTGGCATTGCCTTAGGCTACGGCGACTCTACTGTCTATTCACTAAAACATTCCGACAGTATTTAGTTAAAACAATTGATTTCAGGAATTAATTAAGTCTTCTTCTGTTGAATTTGGTATCTTTCCGGTCGTGAAACGAATCGATTACCATAAACGAACAGTCGAGTAAAGACATTTTAATCATGATCTTGCCAATGAACGAGTCGAAACAATAAAAACAGTCAAATCACCCAAAAAATATCGTGTAAGATCGACGAAGACCTAGTTTCCTCCTGAGTGACAAAACTGCTTCTACGAGCTCAGACTACGTCAGATCGTTGGTTTAATGTGAATCAGTTTGATTAGTGTCGAACTTAAGTTCGTAGCGGTCCTGTAATCGCCCGTAAAATTGCTTTATTAAAGACCTGTCTCATGGAAGAGGATCATATTTCAGGAGCTTTATATAACTGGGAGTAAGAAACGACAACCGATCACTGTCTAATCAACTTTAGGGATATGGATCCATAAATTTCTGACAACAATTGCCATAGGTTTAGTCTACAAACGGCCGGTTAATAAAAAGAATATATCGAGCCACGGACGGACGTTTTCACTTTTAATACATAATTATGACGGAGATTGATATGTTAACTGATTCTTACCGTTAACAAAAATTGTTTTTGGGTGACATGGGAAACGTTTACGAAGGTTCGCAGTTGTTAAATTTTAACCTAGTTTGTTAAACAACTACTAACAGAACTTTTCGTTAATTTATTTTCAAAGTCGTAGAGGAATAAGAATGATTTTGTGCTCAGAAACGCTAACTTGCGAAAATTAAGTTAATAGCTTCAACTTTTCAAAGAGTTTGGAATGTTACTAGATTTTTGAATTCAACATTTTTAAGATTTTCTTCAGTGCGGTTGTCGCTATTGATTATTGTTGTCTTTAAACTTTAATGTTTGATCTTTTAACGCTGAGTATAAGAGTTAAATGACAGCTACCACTATTTCCACTGATGTACTTGCCTAGTCTTGTCAACCATGATTATATATTGAGTCTAGTAGCTTCTTTTACAAGCCTTTAAATGTGCAGAATAATGAGCGTTAAACACTGAACTTTGCTCGTAGAAAGTTATCTCTAACTTCAGGCTGAAGGCTTTCAAGCTTAGCAATTTTGTGATGAATGATAACGGAATTCCACAGAAGACAATTCTCCTCAAATGGACCACAGTAAATCGAACACAAAAATTCAAAACTTACCATCCTCGCAGAAGGACAGCTGAAAACCTAGCAACAACCCAAGCCACACTGTTACCACTCTAACAATGCTTTGCAAGATACTTTTCACCATGACACCAAAAGCTAGTGAACTGGTAGAAAAATAATTTTGCTTTTAAAATTTCTGATTCCTTTCTTGTCTTCTTTACAAACAGTTTGAGCCCTAGGGGTCGTAACAAGCAGCATAAATTAGCACAGACAATTTAATTCGACACAGCGGCTCTTTCATTTGCCTTAAAACTTTAAATAATAAATGGACTGAAAAATCAAAATTCTTGAACGGTTTGCCATAAAGCGGTTACAAAATCCTCAAGATTCAAACATTTTTTGCCTGGTTAAAGTCACCTAGTGGATTATTATACTCACAATTTATTCAGTTATCATCTTTTAGCAGTTCTAGCCATTAGATCATGATCTACATTGTGGTCACGAGGAATTATCTAGATTTCACGGTGGGGTTCTAACTTTGTCACAGTCAGTGCGTTTTTAGTGTTTTGAGGGAAAAACAGAGAAGTAATCTCGAAAGAACAGGGAGTCTGAAAAATTTGATATTAAACCTCAGTTTTCAATCTTTTAACCTTTTTTTTCTTTTTAACGAAGCTTTGTTCCAGCGGCCAAAGAAGCTTCCTTATTTTGTACGATCGAAAAATAGGCCATTTTTGGCATTTCGTTGTTCCAGATCTCTATGCAAAAGATCGACCTGACATTGAACACCATTCTGTGTTTAACATGAGCAGAACATGTGCTCAGATTAGAAATACATTTTTCTCTTCAAGTTGTAAACCATGCAAGAAAATTACGATGACACTATTGTCTCATTACTTTTGACGAATGACGTTTCTCCTGAGTGGGAATCATGGCGGAAAAAGAGTGCGCATGCGAGAAGGGTTCGCGAGACATCATGTGCTTCCTCCGATTTCTGTACCTACGCAGACGACGATCGAATAGTATCCCATGATGCATTTTTCCAGAAGCATCACGCAATATTGTAGTCATAGCAGATTTCATCGTGAAATAAGGTTGTTCTCGTCGGCTTTTTTCTCATCTGTGTTCCAGTAAAAGTAAGAAAATTGTGTTATTTTGTTAATTGACATGATTTCTCCGGTTTGCAATGGTTTAAGAGCGAAGGTTCCACATAGAAACATTTAAAATCGTTGTTTTAGTCTTCGCATCACAAAGTGTTCAGTGACCCACAACAAGGTCATGAATTTTCACGATTTTTTGGATTATATGATGAAGTATTCCAAATGTGGAGCTCAAGTCAGCAAAATGAAGTCCTGAATATTGTACAGGCTAAGAAATACCCAGAAGTACCCACATTTTGAAGACTTTTTTATCGACCAAAGATGGCTGAAATTGTATCTTTAATCACATCAGTAAGTTTCTATTAATGATGTAATTTAGTTTTAAAGGTGTCCCCAATTAGTGCCAATAGGCACTAGAACGACAAGACACTTTAATAAAGGTTATGTATGTATGTATGTATGTATCTCAACGCCATGTGCGATAATATATGTTTAAAGCCTGCTGAAGGCTATAATCTGTTGGGTGCTTTCAAGAGCGCTTTATGCCGAAGCAATCACTTTGTATTTCCAAATTGGTTATTTTAAAAAAGAATTTGACTATAAAGATTTTAATTAGAACAAGGAGCGGTGAATAATGCCGTGTGTTTCAGTGAGATAGGATATCTATGGGAACTTTCCACGTGAAATACATGTCTGAATTGTTTTTTCAGGTAGTTTATTTGTAAACTAATAACTAAATGGAGCCCCGCAAGCAATCCGCACTGAACTACGTTAGACACCCAGTAAGTCAGACAAGTATAGTTACACCCCGGGGGGGAGGGGGGAAGCGGGGAGGTGTTCCCGTACAACACTTTGTTGAGAGGTCGACAGCCCCCTAACTAGCCCCACCCCCCCCCCCCCCCCCACCCTTTTAGCTCGGGCCTTTCCATCAAACGTTTATTATAGTTTTGGACACTGGGGTTCTTCAAGTTGATAATCTTTGAAGATTTTAGTCCTCCACCTCAAGATTGTCTCATGATTTTTGTAAACACTACATTTGTCACTGGATGATGAGTCACGTTAGGTGACAAGCCTTATTTGGTCAGTGATTTCCCGTATGAAGGAATTGGCGTCTGTTCGTTCAGCTGAACGTTGGGTGATCATGGTTTCCTCATCATGTCACGGAACTAAATGGCAGTAAACATGTTTCCTAAACCTAATTCTTTTTTCGAGTGCGGCCAACCAATTTTATTTTCCCATTTGTAAGGTAAGGGAATATGAAGATACCTCGCGTGACTTTTCAGCTTGCCTTATGCCATTTTACGAATTATCATTCATGAGCCACCTATCACTTGATTTTTGTTGCAGTTTCACAGTTCAAGATTCAAGCTTCTTTTGCGATTTAACAACCAGGAGGGTGTTGACTATATTACCGTACCCAGAACGTGAGTAATCTGTTCGCAGGATTAGCCGCTGAACCCAAAGCAACAAATAATGAAAAATGCAAATAACTTGTTGCTTCGCTTCGGTCAGACGATCAATAATCGGCCTTAAAATCTATACAATACTTTGTTTGCGGTTCTTTTGTTCCTTAGATCATATTTTAATTTTTTTATGCAATCAAGAAGTCAGCCATTTGCATCTGAGATATCAGAGATATTAGCAATTTTGCTATCAACAAATTCGAAGTTAAATAAACTCTTTGATTTATTGATTGATCTGAAATACATCTTTAGCTGATAAAGTCATGCGATCAGTAATGTATGCTAACAAGTTCAAGTCAAGTTGCAAACCGAAAGCCGTGAATTATGTTGAATAAGAGTGCATACTAGCTAAACTCAGGATTCCTATCAGTGTAAAAATCTTTAACTGCATTTTACTTTCATCCTGAGGGCGTCCTTTACATTGCTTTCTCCCAAGACATCGCGTACCCCTTAATTTCCGGGTCAATTCTGTACTGAGCAAAACTTTCATAAAACGAAATACATCCGGTTTTCCGAGAATATCTGCGTAGAAAGCTTGTGTTTTCCAGGAAAACTGGCCTGCGGACTGAAGATAATATCCGCTCTCTTACCGCAAGTTAAGAATTATCTACCTATGTCAACGAAAGGAATGCATGATTTTGATGAGCATTTTTCACTTGTTTCAGCCGTTTGCGCTCTCCTTCGTTGTAGAGAGGCCGGGGAGAGGGAGAGAAAGCAGGAGACGATGCGAAGTGAAATTTTAAATTCATGCTTTTGGGAGTTCCGTTCATACGGAACCACCTTAGCTGTTCAAAGTCCCGTGTGAACGGGGCGAAAATATTGAACAGTCCCGTGTGAAAGAAGTGTCCCATTAAATTTTTCAGCCAGTCGAAAGTTAGTTTCTTGTCTTGTGAACATAACCTTCCCCTTCCCATCGTCCTTTGCGCGCTTCCTTTTTTTCTATTTTTTTGATTTTCATTGAAACTCTGCGGAGGAGAGAAAGCCTTCTTAATTAAAATGCTTATTGTTTGCCTAAAAAACATTAGAATTATTATTTGTTTAGGTTCACTACTGGGTGAGTGAGCATTTCTAGTCATGGCTTGCACTGTACCTTCATGGGCATCCACCAAGGAATCGACAAATTATGCACGTCTGTGTCGTCTTCTGGTGGATGTGGGAACCCAGGCGTTAAGAGACAAGTTCGACAGCATTCACTCACCAGCAGGACTACATGGAATTCTGACAAGTCCTCCCACATACGATACGCTAAAGGCACTTAGGAAGAAACGAATCCTCAATCTTTCGCAATGGGGGAAGCTTTATCCCACAATTCCTTCAGGGTTATCAACAGCAAACTTTGATATAACGCTTCTGATGTTGCTGCTAAGGAACATTTGTGGCTTGACTCCTCCAGCCACTGGTTGGAATGACCTCCCACCTGTTACAGATACGAGTATTGAAGCCAACCTTGCTAGAGTGAAGTATTATAGAAACAATGTCTATGCACATGCCAGCAAAGCTTCTACGGACGACGCCACATTTAATTCCTGTTGGCAAGATATAAGTAACGCACTGATAGGACTTGGTGCAGATGCGTCTGTTATTAGTAAGCTTAAAACTGAGAACATGGATCCCGAAATGGAAGAATACTATCAAGATTTATTGAGGGAGTGGAAGAAGGACGATGATAGCATCAAGGAAAAAATTGACGCGGGGGTCGAAGGTATGTTGGAATTTAATAAGGAATGGAGGACGACAAAAAAGATGGTTTTCATCACACGGTTACCTGTAAGTTGCTACCACATAGGACTGTACCTGTTTCCTGTTTACACACATTAAAAGCAAACTATTGAAAAAAGGCTCTATATAATTTCTACAACGTAAGCGTTTTATGTTATAGCTTTCGTGAGTCCGAGAAACTGGTTTTGTTAAGGACGTACTAATTAATATTTTTGTGGAATAGCTCACTCTAACAATTCTGCGGTGACACATATATGACGCACTCCTTCCAGAACGTGGTAATCTCTATACTCATCTGAGTAAAAATACTTATTAGAAATACAGAAGAAACGGCTCTTTTATTCTCCATGATATTGAAAAAATACCACCCCCCCCCAAAAAAAAAAAAAGAAAAAAAAAAACATTCCAAAATGGGTGGTTCGCGTGGGACATGCAACAGAGAAAAGATGCCTATACCGGGAGCTCATAACCTGGGGGGGTAGTTTAGTAATTTTTGAGTGGGGATGTGCCGCTGGAACCCTGGCACCCTTAGTCTATACCAGAGCTTGTTCACGTGAATTTTGCTACCCTAGTACTAGACTAAACTCACCAAATCCCCACCCCCTCCCCATCCTAGAGTAGCTGTTTTCCAGAAACCACTGAGGTGACTAGCATAGTCCAGCCAAAACAAAACCGATTTTTTTTTTTTGTATTTTAGAGTGGCAATTCCAGGTTTCCCTATTCTAGAATAAAATCTTCAGCCAATTGACCAGTTTCCTGGAAAATGATACCCTATTCTAGAACCAAACTCTCTGATTTATATACCCCTTCCCAGAGTAAACTGCTTGAAAACCATACTCTTCGTTCACAGCGGCACATACCTATATAGCCCATATTTATATGACAGTATCTCCTTCCCCCACCGCAGGGGCTCATAACTTGTATAAATACGTATCAGATCGAAATTGACCTCGATTTAACTTTTGTTTCTTCCTTAAGTGATACTGAAAAAAATGAAAAAAGACGATGAGAGCACAAAAGGTACGTATGTCTAGACAATAAATAGAATCCATAGCAAAATCGAATAAGCCTTTCTAAAAGTATCTTGATTGTTACTTCCAATTTACTGCTCAGTTTTCGATTTGCACTTTAAAGTTTCACTTCCCTGCATAAAATTCCAATTAGCTCCATTTGTGGGCAGTTTTATTAAGATAGGTACATTAAGGGGATGAGTATGATTTTGAGAGTGTCCATTGTCAATTTTGTCCTTCTCAGTATCCACAATGTCAAATAACTTTATGTTCTGGTAAAAGTACCGTATATTAATATACACTAAATTTCAGACCCCAAGGGAAACAGCTTGTTTTGTTTTCCCGAGAGTCCTGATCTTCGTCGAGGGAAACATCAGGACTCGAGGGAAGACAAAACTAACTAGTTTCCCGAGGGACCTGACATTAAGTGTTTTGTTTTTATTTCTAGACTTTCACTTCAACAGCAACAAAAGAATAATCGGAGCGCACCAGAAAACAGTCGACTCTGTACTTATAACAACACAAATTTAATACTCAAAACCACTGAATGAATGATTTACAAATTACTTTCCCTATATTGTCTGCATCTTTTTCCTCAACTAGCTGCTGTTTCTCTTCTAGGATAACTTTAAAAATCGTTGCTTTTTAGCTTGATGCTGTGTTCATTCACGAACGAGAAAACTGGCAGTGTTGGTTTTTCCCGCCTTTTGTCACGCCATTTTCCACCATGCTTTGATCACGTGCTGTAATGTATCCCGAGCGGGCTACATTGCTTAGTTATATTCCTAGACTTTCACTCAACTAGACAGGGACTGCCATTGGTTGGTTCTTGGTCACGTGGCCTTGACTAAAATCAAATGTATCCCGATCGTGATACATTAAGCAATGTACCCCGCTCGGGCTACATTACAGCACGTGATCAAAACATGGTGGAAAGTGGCGTAACAAATGGCGGGAAAAACACTGTTTGGTCTTGCCAGTTTTTTTTTTTTTTTTCGTGAATGAACGCAACAACACAAACACGAAACCTCAAGCTAAAAAGCAACGATTTTTAAAGTTATCCAAGAAGTTCCCAGAAGAAAAACAGCAGCTAGTGGAGGAAAATGATGCAGATAATATAGGGAAGGTACTTTGTAAATCATTCATTCAGTGGTTTTGAGAATTAACTTTGTGTTGCTATAAGTACCGATTCGACTGTTTAGGTTCGCTCCGGTTATTCTCTTCACGGCAAAAAAGTGGCATTTTCCCACTGGGAAAACGCGCGGTGAATTAACGAAGAATGCGCAATTTACCCTCATTTTCTGAGATTCACCAAGCGGAAAATCCTTCGTTTTCCAAACGTTTTCACTCCGGTTAATTCGAGTATTCGTTCCATTATCCATCAGTTTTCCGATTCAGTGAACGCCGGTAAACATGCGTTTGCTAACGTTCACCGATCGGTTAACACTCGGTGAACGTCTTGTATTCCGGCATTTACCCTGAGTTTTCAGACGGGAAAACCTCGAGTTCACCGCAGTTAACGAGTGAAATCCTGCCTTTTGGGGACGTTTTCCGGCGTTTTCCGAAACGGTGAATACCGCTGAATCCAGGAAAATCGCATGTATTCCAGCGTTTACCGATCGCTTACCGTTAGGAAAACTGCGCGTTATTCCGACTTTTGCAAGGAGTTTTCTTGCGTTTTCTTTCATTTTCTGTGACAGTGAATTCAAGTAAATTCAAGAAAACTCGCGTTTTCCAGCATTCACTGATAAGTTCAGTCATGGAAAACAGATTGTATTCCAGCGTTAGCGGTCGTTTTCTACTAGTTTTCTGGCGTTCTCAAGTACAGAAAATTCGTGTGAAGTTAGGAAAACGCAAAATTTTCCCGCGTTTCCCGTTATATATCTTTTGGAAATTGCTTTTGTTTTAACAATTTGCTTTTTCCTCCCGTGTTTTCAATGGTGTTGTAACGTTCAGGATTAATTTAATTCAGACAGGGAAAATATTTTGTATGTCATAGCTTTTCCGTAATTCCCACCCCGCAATTGAGGTCCTCTGGTTATTACTGTTTGTAAATGCGTGTAAAACTCAAGGTATAGTTATCGTGTAGGGAGTAAAATGTTTCCTTCCCACTTACTTATATATAAAGAGTGCACAGATGAAAAGAACCAATATATGAACTGTAAATTCTGAACATTTATTTACATGGCTTTGCATACATATCATACCCTTAGTGTTACAGTGCTCGCAGTCTCATTTTATAAATGAAATTGTCAGAAGATGTGGTCTTCAAAATTATAACCTAGCTTACACTAAAGAAAAACATTGCTAACATTCTACATTGAGAACTCTCAGGCTGAACTCTATGCGAAGTGCAAAAACAAAAAAAAACACTCTAAAGTCCAACAAAATCTAGTTCTTGCATTAATACCTTATAATTAAGTGACAATAAAGTGTATTAAAGAACCTTTTAAAGCTATGTGTCACTGTAACTATACAGAAACAAGATGTTTGTGATTTGAACTCATGGTTCTGTTGCACATCAATTTTGACATCAAACTGAATACTGGGTAACAAACATTATGCGGTTAATTCCTAAGATGCAAAAAATTATTATTTACATTTAAAGAATAGAAGCTGTTCACAATTCATTTTTTGGAAACAAATTTACTTAAGGAAATCAAAGATTGCAGATTGAGTAATATAACAATAATTAAAACATCACATTTCTCTTTGAAATAAGTTATGCCTGCATCAATAAGACCGAGCTGTTACATTTTACTCATCAGTCTACTTTATATAGTTACTTCAACTTAACCTTTAAAGGCTGCACCAACTTTTTGAGAAACGCTCCCTATCTAGAAATATAACAAAACACTTAATGTCAGGTCCCTCCCTGATGTTTCCCTTGACTTCCTCCGGAAAGATCAGGACTCTCGGGAAAACAAAACCAACTGTTTCCCGCGGGATCTGACATTAAGTGTATAATGTATCACGATCGGGATGCATTTGATTTTAGTCAAGGCCACGTGACCAAGAATCAACCAATGGAGGTCCCTGTTTAGTTGGGTGAAAGTCTAGGAATATAACAAAGGGTTTCAATCCACTTAGAAATTTTGCCGAAAAAAGCCTTTTGAAGCTTCGATCCGTTTTTTAGTCTGACTAGAAACAACCAATACTGCACAAAGCGCTGTTTAAAAGGCTAGCACATACGCTGCTTTCTATTTCTGATTCTGAAGTTCGTCACGCTCAGAATTCTTGTACCTTTTCATATTTTGCTTTCTGGACTTTCTCTCCCCCCTCCCTCTTTAGTTTGTTTTGCTAAAAACCTTTGAGGACGGTAAGAATTTTCAGGTCAACTTAAAATGTTGTTTGGTGTGAATGTTTTTTTTATGTAGAAATTTAGATTTATTTAGGATTCTAACAAATAGCAAATAATTCTTTTCCGCACCAATGTTGATAAAAAGTTAATTTTTTACTTACTTAATACTTAACTTGCTTTGAATGTTTCTTTTTCCCCTTTTTATTTATTTCTTGTATTATTGTTATTATTGTCAGACAATCTTGAACAGATTAAAGTTGAAATGAAGGCTATGAGGGAAACCTTAGATACTTTAAAACCAGGAATCGGAAGAGAAAACAAGGATGAAGGTCAGTTTTAGGTTCCAAATGTTGCCTCACACAATTTGTCTATAACCGAAGAAGAATCCTGTCAGAAAGAAAGGGTTTAAATCTCTAATTAAAACCGATAAAGAAGGAAAATGAGGCTTTTACGAAACGAACAGTGATGAAAGAAAAAGAAAACGTTCTTTGAGTATTTGTATAAATTATCGTACATGGGTCGACGGGATTCTCGCGTTGGTCACACAGGTTGTTTACCATTTAACATGGACAAACCAGTAGGTTGACGGTTTGGGCAAATAGTAAGCTAAATTCGAGACTGGTAAATTTCGTCCCGGAAATAACGTTTACCATTTTTACTATATACATACTGAGAAATACTCACCAAAAAGCTATGTCGTAAATTTTTATACCCAAACGGGTTCTAGCCTATCAGAAGAGCGAACAGCCTTATTCACAGATGAAAAAAATGATACGTCGGTGTATTTTTGGGTGTGAAAAAAATGAAACGTCCAATCAGAAGCCACAGAGGTGTGTGAGTTTCGCGCCAAAATTCCCACCTTTCATAGGCGCTTGCAGCTTGCAGCGCCCTCGCTCAACGAGTTGCTTCGCAGACATTCAACGAGAAAAGTTTTTCCCGTAGACCAGTAAAAAACACCTCGGAAATTGGAGTGGAATAGTTTCCTGTGTTTAGCTGACGATGAAAACGATTGTAGAGATCCGCCAAAACCACAGAGGAAGGGGAAAAACAGAACGAGACGCAAGCTTAAGTTGTTCAATTTAAACTTATATTCAAACCAGCCATTTTCAATTGTGTATTCAGAACAAAAAGTTAACTTTACAGCATTGATAACTCTTAATTTACCTCATTACATTTTTAACAAACGTTCTTACTTTGGTGCGGCGGCGGGGGGGGGGTTAGGTTAATAACCAGTGGGAAACTCATGACAGTCTATCTACTGCAGCGTATTCAGTAAACATTCGGTTAAAAAAAGTAGAAAAACATGCTGCAACACAAGACTCGATAAAGGTATATGAGAGAAATTTCTGTAGCCATGTTTTAGCAAATCCAGTCAGATTTCTATTGCAGAAAAAGGTAAATCGAACGCACCCTAAAAGTTTTCATTACTTATTCTTCCCCTTCAAAAAACCGTTGAAAGAATTCGAAAGCGCGTGCTCATAACTAAATAATGTATTGAATCCGGCAAATTATCAACCAAAGTAGAAAACTTCAGTAATCGATGTACTGAATCCACTACATTTAACGAGATTGAAATGAAAAAGTGATAGATTAGTGTTATATGTATTATATTTTCAGGTGGTTTTGATCCAACCAATTTAACTGAAAGCATTCGCCAACTCTATATTAGTGGTAAAGGATGGCTTGCCCCTCTTCCGTGGTGCGAGGATTTTCGATTCCATCTTGATAACATCTTCACACGGTTTAAGATGGTAAGCAGAAAGAAAGAAACCGGAACAAAGACAGTAAAGAAAGTGGACATGTATGATATCTTTAAACCCCACGAAGAATGCTCACAGCCGGGGAAAGTGTTGATTGAGGGGACGCCTGGTATAGGTAAGACCACATACTGCCACAAGCTTGCTTACGACTGGGCTTTGAAAAGCGAAGAAGCAAAAGATTTGTTTCAAAAGTTTCAATCATTATTACTGCTGAACTGTCGGGAGATGAAGTGTGCCGACCTTTTTGATGAAATCGTCGATCAGCTTCTTCCTCGAGATGGCAACGAAAAAGAGAGAAAGGAGTTCCTTATAAAGTCAGTTCTTCGCGACAATGGGTTTGGAATTTTGCTTGTACTTGATGGACTAGATGAGTTACCAACCAGCAAATTACAAGCCATGAAGGAAATCATTCAAGGACCAATTCTTTCAAAATGTCATATTGTAGCAACCGCACAGCAGGAGGTTGGCAAAAGAGTGCGGGATTGCTTCGACACCTGCTTAGAGACCGACGGGTTTACAGAAGACGACACCCAAAAGTTCGTAGTCAGGTACTTCTGCGGAAACATGGAGGAAAAGGCCCAAATGCTTTTGGAGACACTGCGACGTGAGAAAGAGCTAAGACACCTAGCTGAGAATCCTTTAAACACAGCACTCTTTTGTCTTCTTTTCGAGGACATCCAGGATTTTTTCCCAGAAAGTAGAGGTCAACTGTACATGGAACTGGTACGCTATGTTTTACGAACATATGAAAAAGAGAAGGGATCATCAGAAACCAGTGAAGACCTCATTGAAGTCTACAAGTCCGAGTTAAAGCGTCTTGGCTCAGTTGCTTTGAAGAGCTTGCTCCAAGGCAACATTTTCTTAGACGGCAATGAAATTTCCATTAGGAATTCTGCGAGCGAATCACCTGCGTTTGAGTTCCTCTCAGTTCAGTTCGGAAAGTCAAAACTGGGCTGCAACTTTTTTCACCAAAGTTTCCACGAACTTTTCGCAGGATTTTACCTGTGTTGCCAACTTCTCGACGATGAATTTGAACCAAGAAGCATAGTTGACGACACCAGGTATTTCCACGAGCTGAAACATGTGCTTTTGTTTACATGCAGCATATTAGCGGCGCAGTGTGAGGCCAAAGTACTGGCTCTTTTTGAAGGTATTACAACTAAAGTTAACAAAGGAGATCCCCATGATTTTATGGTAGCTCTAGAATGTCTTAAGGAATGCAAAAGAGACAACTCAGAACTGTACTTGAAACTTGCTCACACTGTTGGCGCGTCCCTTTGTCTTCAGACTGTAAACTTTCAATTTCTGTTAGATGAGGCAAATAATCCTTCACTGGTACAGGCACTACTTGAAGTAGTTAAAACGAATTCAACGCTTGCCGAGTTGAATTTGTCTGGCAACTATCTTGGCGATGCGGGCTGTGCTGCATTGATCGAAGGAATTCACACCCAATGTAAACTTACAGTATTGAATTTGTCTGGAAATGACATTGGATATCCTGGTTGTGCTAAAGTGGCTCAGTCAATTGGGAACAATTTAGTGCTTACAAATTTAAACTTGTCTAACAACAAAATTGGCGATGATGGCTGTGTTGCACTGGCCGAAAGTATAAGAACAAATACCACGCTTAAAGTACTCAATCTGTCTCACAATGAAATTGGCAAAAAAGGCAGTAAGGCACTGGCTGATCTTATTCAAAACAACTCAACACTTAAAGAACTGAATTTGTCCAGGAATAAAATTAATGACGACGATTGTGCTGCTCTGACCGAAGTGACTACGAAGAATTCAACGCTTTCCTTGTTGGATTTGTCTTACAATGCCATAAGCCATCAAAAAGCTGTTCAGCTTAATCGAATTCAAGAAATCTACATTGAACTTGATGGTTACAATGACGATGATACTAAGGGGGGCGTCAAAAGCTGTGATAGTTACAATTTTAATAAAGCCGTTGTTAGCACAGTAAGTGATGGTGGAGATAGTGAAGATGATGATCATTATAACGATTACGACAACGATTTTGACGAGAGATCTGATGATGATGACAGTGATGATGATGGTAATAGTAATGAGAATGATGACAACTATGAGTGCAATGATTATGACCATGATATTTCGCCTGACAATGATGATATCGATGAGTCATTTGATGATGATGATGATGATGATGATGATGATGATAGCAATGACGATAATGAAAACTATGACTACCCTGATTATGAACATGATATTTCGCCTGACAATGATGATGTCAATGAGTCATTTGATGATGATGATGATGATGATGATAACAATGACGATAATGAAAACTATGACTACCCTGATTATGACCATGATATTTCGCCTGACGATGATGACGACTATAACGAGGAGAATAGCGATGAAGCTGATGATTACACTTTGTGAGAAAGGTGATGTCTCGATGACTTTTTTGATTATGACGATTGTGATGGTGGTGCTCTTAAGATTATGATGATGACGACGATCATGTTGGTGCTGATGAAATCCTCAGTGTTTGACCACCAGTCTGATGTCAGCTATGTGAAATCATTTTAAAAATTGAGAACAACTAAAACTGAAAAAAAGAATTAAAGCGATACAAGTAGAACATGGTTAGAACGATTCTACTAAACATTGCTTATTCTATTCGCTTTCTGCATATTGTGTAGCACCCGAGAATATTTCAAGGACATTGGTCGTTTCCGCTAACCAGAGATCAGGCTCAATTTTTCTTTTTTGTAATAACATTCCGACAGGCAAGGCGAAACGAAAAGTGAGCCTGATACAAAAATTAAACCTTCTACGAAACGTCTGCCGCCCACTTTTTTGATTGATTGACATTTGCCGAATCAGCCAACCAAAATTACTTCCGTTGCTCGTTTTTCTAGTATGCAAATTTTTCATGCGTGGGAAAAATGCAGACTGGCTGACTTAAAGAATAGCTTTTATCTGTTAATTTTTTCAGCTAAAAATAAAAGTCTGCACAATCACATTTAACTTCTTGCGAGATTAAACGAGATCTCGAAGGTTATTTCTGTTGGGGTAGAAGGTAAAAAGTTTTCGAAAAGACGGCGACACGATGTTCTACTAGTTTTATTTATATTTTAGGTAGGCGCGCTCGAATTTAAAATACTGAAATTTCTATCTTTCTGTTGGCTTAATATTTTCCTCAGCAATTTTCCCCGATTTCCAGTACATAAATCTTTAAAAATCTTGAAGAAATATATCATCGCGAACTTTTTCAAAGGATATATAAGTTATTTCAGAACAAACCAAACGAGTTCTCAAGTGTATTAATGCAGCTGATTTAGTCCTGTGCGTACACTTGCAATAATTAATATTTGTGAATTTATGCATCAGTCAATTCCACCTGCGCCCAGCCCCCCGGGCTGACCCCCGGGTATTAGCATTTTTTTTGCCTTGGATGACAAATTCTCGGGGGTGGGGACTCTTGAGCTGTCAAATCCCCCGGGGTGGGGACGAAAAAAGAGGGCCAATGCCCCCGTCCTCCGTCAACACTGCAACATTTTTCATTGTGATCGCACAGTCAAGTAGTGCCATTTTAAGCATTTTAAAGTGCGATTTTTTGTTTCAATTAACGTCTTTCTTTGTAATAGCGCGAGAATTCTAATTAAGACTTCACGCCGCGACGACATGCACCAGTTTATGGTTTTAGTATTGATATAAAATTATTGACATTAAAATTAATAGAGCGCTGTAAAGTTATATGTTATGAATAGTTTTATAAATATGAAAGGATGTTCTTCAAATAACATCAACAGAAACAAGATTCAATAACCAAAAAACGTTGATTCACATCTATAGCTCCAATTTCGCTACGTAATTCTGGCTTGAAAAGCAATGAAGAAATGCGTACATACATGTAAAATCGAGATCATGCCTTTACAACCCTCTACAATTTATTCCTGTCATTGACAGATGAGCCAATCTGCGTTTTTTCCATTAAAACCTTCTTTGTAGTTATATTCTGATATAGGAAACCGCGTGCGTGTCAAAAGCTCGGGAATGGCCCGGGAGTTGGCAAATGCCCGGCCCCCGGGGAGTGTAAAATTTGCAAATGCCCCACTCCCGGGACTGACAAGGCGGGCAAATGCCCCGCAGTTGCCCGGGGGGGGGGCCTGGGCGCAGGTGGAATTGACTGATGCATTACTAGAGAAACAAACGCCTAAAAAATAAATATATTTAAAAAAAATCCAGGTAACTATTATCTGCCACTAACTGCATGCTCAACTGACCTATAAACAAAACGAAAAACAATATTACAAACACACTTGGTAGTTCTCCTTAGTTGTGTTGTTGTTTTACTGCAGGTCTAAAAACTTAAAAGCTCGCTAAATTTATTAATCGAAATAAACAAACAGCAAACAGCCAACGAGCGAAGACACCAGTTTTCCTTGTTTATTTCTTACAAAAAGCGAAGACAAACGACAAGTCTGTTACCTTGGGACTAGCGCCACCAGCTTTTATAATAATGCCTACAAAAATTCCTTGAACAGCGATGCGATATTTTTCGTCTAATACTTATTTCACACTTGGCGTTTGAGGTTTCTTTCGCAGTGAGCCTCCGTTTGCGTACCCCGTTCAGAGAAGTCATTCCCGGCAAAACATTCAAATGAAACCAGTTTTAAGATGGACAGTATTTTGATTTACACTCGTTTGTTGGTAAATCAAAAGGCACCTTGTTAGCGGTCAACAACTTGCAGAGGGATTTAACTCCGCGATACACTCACATTAGTTCCGTAACTAAAGCAAATCCTGAGAAGATATGAACAACAATATGAATTTTCTGAATTTCCGTGGCACATATTAAGGCATATTTTCTTACCATAAGGCCATAAAACAATAAAAAAGACAGCAAAATCGATCCTTCTCTTCGCCGACGGCGGATCATTCACGAAAACAACCACGCGAAGAATAAGCGCTTTCAACTTCCGGCGTTTCCGACAGACAATCAGATCTTGCGGCATTGTTCTAACAGCCAATCAGCGTTACGGCCAAAATCTGGCCGTAACGAGTACAAACGCGAAAGAGTTTGTATCAGGCCCAATTTTAGCGGTAGCCGTTAGAGAGAATGTATGAGAAACCCTGACCTTGCATAATGGCGAGTTACAAAATACAATTGTGTCCACAGGGCACCCACACAATGTGTTTGTGCAACTAATTGTTATCATAGTAAATGAACTGGATTTACCGTTTGCTTCACCTGTAACGATATATCGCTAAATATGTATATAAATCAATGTTAAATAAACGTTGAATTACCTTAACTGTGGTATATCGTCGTCCTTTTGCCTCAAAAGCGGTTTTTTGAGCGATTTTGAACGATTTTGAGTTCGCCGTTTACTGTCCCTAGAAAGACAAGGGAGGAATCCTTGTTTTGAAAGCACCGGAGCGATTGTCCCCCAGAAAATCGCATCTCTCCGCTTTCAATCTTCACATGCAGCAAAAAGGTCGAAAGATTCATACTTCTCCTCGTAACTTGCGATCGAAAATCCATCCATAAGGTCCGGAGCCAGCCCTCGCAAAAAATTAAAACCCCACAGTTTTTGAACGGTCAAAATGCGTATCAAGGTTCATAAGTGCAAGCCAGAAACCGTCCCGCTGATTGCCTCTTTTTGATTGGATGTCGCTAACCAAATGGTTAAATAATAACTGATTTAAAGAAGACGGTAAGCGTTTATTGTTTAACGACATCCAATCAAAAAGAGCCAATCAGCGGGACGGTTCCTGGTTAGCACATATGGCTCTTGCAAGCTACACATTTTGACCGTTCAAAAACTGTGGGATTTTAATTTTTGGGGGGGAAATCGCTCCGGCGCTGGAGCCGTTTCAAAACAAGGATTCCTCCCTTTTCCTTCTGTTGTTAGGGACAGTAAACGGCAAACTCAAAATCGTTCAAAATCGCTCAAAAAATCGCTTTAGAGGCAAAAGGATGACGATATACCACAGTTAAGGTAATTCAACGTTTATTTAACATTGATTTATATACATATTTGGCGATATATCGTTATAGGTGAAGCAAACGGTAAATCCCGCACATTTACTATAAAATAACAATCGGTTGCACACACACATTGTGAGGGCGCCCTGTGTTGTATCAGGCATTTTTAAAGTGGCTGCAACCGCGAGTTTACATCCTGAAGCATTTCAAATCTGGCTAATAAGTGGATTATTGTTCTCACAACTCAATCAATCTTCATCTTCTAGCCATTAGATCATCTACAATTTGGTCAATTTGCTCGTTCTAATTTTTTCACAGTCAGTACTTTCTCCGTGTTTTGAGGGCAAAACAGAGAAGTAATCCCGATAGCACAGGGAGTCTGACAATTTTCATCTCAGACCCTTTTAACAGTTTCCATTTCAACTAAGCTTTGTTCCAGATAGTAAAAGTTGCTTAGTGTTGCATGATCGGAAAATCGGCCATTTTTTGGTATTTCATTGTTACAGATCTGTAAACAAAGATTGACCTGATAAAACCATTCTCTGTTTAGCACGAGCAGTGCACCACAGGTAATCCAAGCTCGAAATATGAGATCGGCGAGCATCGGCATTGTTGCGTAACATTCAAAATATAAGGATTTGTATGGGAAAAAAACCTATCGTTTCTCTAACCTACGAAAATGAAAGGATTTCAATAAAAAACAGCTTACCTTACTTAAAATGTGTGTTACGTCTCTCCTGTGTGGTCCACGGGGCCGATTTATGGTATCATTAAAGGTAAACCTTTATATAGAGAGAAAACCGTTTACATAAAAACCCATAAAACGGCCATAAATCTGCCCGTGGACCACACAGGAGAGACGTAACACACATTTTAAGTAAGGTAAGCTGTTTTTTATTGAAATCCTTTCATTTTCGTAGGTTAGAGAAACGATAGGTTTTTTCCCATACAAATCCTTAAATTTTGAATGTTACGCAACAATGCCGATGCTCGCCGATCTCATATTTCGAGCTTGGGCTACCTGTGAGTGCAAGTGCTCAGAATAGAAATATATATATGGTGCTTCATGATCATTACTTTTGATGAGTGACGTTCAGTCAATACTCCGGAGTGGGAATCATGGCGGAGAAAGTGTGCGCATCTGAGAGTAACTGGCCAAACATCTCCTGCTCGCTCTGATTTCTGTATCTTGAAACTGTCCTCGCGAAGTACTGAAATTACACTTCTGAATTGTTTGTACAACTAGTTTTGTAAAATGAAAATTGACTCCCTGAACAATCGTCACTGAACTATGTAAGACACCCACTCATTCAGACATGTGCAAAGAGACTCCGCGCCTCCAAACTATTGCGAAATAATAAAACAGCGGTTGATAACTTATATGCGTTAATCAACCCATCGAATTCAATGCACGCGTTTACCAAAACATTGTTTTGCGAGGCAAGCTTTATAAATGACCCTATGTATATAAGTATTAAGTTGAGTATCGATTTGCCCGAGACTACAGACTTGAAATTTGAAAACAATTCGCTGACAACTTTACCAAATGCAGTTTCATTTTGAAATAATTCTTTCAAACACCATTGTCGTCCCCAGGGCCCCTCGTTTCTTTTGGTCACATTTAGCCCAGTTACTCTGGAGGCAAGAACCTTGAATGTTCAAACACTAGTTGTTTGGAGTTTTTCTTGTGCACATGCGCAGTGCGGGTGTCCTTGGTGTCCTTAAGAATAGAAATGTCAAATGTCACGTGACAGGCACTAAGAAAATGAGCTTGTATCAGCATTTTCTATTGGTGATGGGGCTCCGCGTAAACAGGAGCAAAAAGTAAAACGGGGAGTTTTCTTAATTTCATTCTTGGGTTAAGACAGACTGCTCTAGAAAAAAGCGTAGACAATATCTAAAAGTTGTATATGTGCGTAATTGACGAGGCTTGCTCGGTTCAGAACTCCCGAGCTAACGGGCAAGATGTGCCTTCTGTGGTAGCCAATCAGAACGCAGGATTCGCTTCATCTTGCCCACTCGCGGATTCGGCCATACTGAATAAAAGGATTTCTAAGTTCAAACATAAAACTTGCATAAAGGCAAGTGACTGGGTAGAATTGACCTGACACCAAACTAAGCTTTACCACAAGCTTTACTAGTTTGATCCATGTAAGTTTCCCAATGTATGTAGCCTTTGGTCGAGTTTTTTCCATTTTTGATAATTTACCTCTTTAAACTAATGAAATCAAAGCCTCTTCGCAACAAAATTACCGGCTAAGTTTTTTTTTCATATTTCACTCATTCTGAATGTTTACCCGAAAACGGCTATAAGTTTTGATTTCATCATTTGAGAAGTTATTCGTGTTAAATTAATTTTACACGATTCGACGCATGGAACAGGTTACGTTTTCTTAGAAAGTGCGGGAGAAATACCCACGCTGCTGTTCGTAAAGGGTAGGGGTCATAGACCCCGGTGGTGTGGTACAACCTTTCATGGGCTGGGTGGGTAATGGAGGGGTTGATGTCAATTGGGACGCAAGTCCTGTTTCATCCCCTGTCACCATGTTAAGTCACCGCGGTAAATTCAATAAAGTTAAATTAAAGTTAACCAACCACGATTGCAACGTTTCACATCGTTGCAATGACTTCTCTTACAAGACCTTAACTCAGGATTAATATCACACAGGTTCCGAATTAATCAATTGGGAGCTCAATAAGCTCGCTATTGTTTGTGCAACTAGTTTTAATTAGAAAACTAAAAATTGAAAAGTACGTAACTGACGTTGTAAGCAAAACTAAAAGCAGCAGTGTAAAAAGAAAAAAGCCAACGTTTGATCGTTTGACATTGACTTCCCTGGTCCAGTTTCATTCCGGTTAATTTGGTCTTCTTAAAGTGTCACTCACTAGATCGTAAGAATTAAATCTTGTGAAATATGAAACCATTGATGCATAGAGTGAAACTGCGTTCCAGTTATTACCGAACAAGGAGTATTCCTTAATGTTGATTACATTTATTTTAAAACCGCCTGCAAAGCGACAGCATCCTGAATAAATTATTTAACTTTTTGAAAAGAACTCATCGCTCCTAGTTTGAAACTAATGTACTTGTGTAGAGCAACATGTTTCTCAGCTGATAACTTTTTACATTAAAGTCACGGCAGGGAATATTGAAAATATGCATACATGTTCTCGTAATTATGCTGAAGTTTGTACTGTTACAGACGGTTGTCCAAATGTTAAGCGCAATTTGGTAGGACTTCAGGCCTCAAGTAGTATTTTTACGGATACGGTTATGATCTTCAGTTTCTCTGAGATAAACATCAGATGTAATTGTCAAGTTAAAAAACCAAAGTTAAAACATTAAAAGTACACATTATGATGCAAACATAGTGCAGTAGAAAAAGAAACTGGCAAAATGTTTATTTCACTTTTTAATTAAAAAGAGAGTTGGAACAGCCAGACATTGATTAATGTTTTTTCTCTTAATATTATATACATGGTCCTTATGAAAAGGAGAATTCAATAGGGCCATGCAGTTATTGACTCGGCGTGTCGACTCTTGAGGCTACCTTAAATGCATCTTGTCAAAGATTTTTGCTTTACCCTGTCTAATTACGCTGGATGCTTACCGATCTAAGAAAAACCAACAGGTGCTTGTATTAAAGCCGCTTGCTTGGGATATTTCTGTGAGTAAATTTAACCAGCAACTCTAGCTACTACAGCTCAAGATTGTTTTCGAGATGCCACGACAAGTGCTTCCAGAAGGCGAAATGGAGGAAGGCCGAAAAGGATGGACTGAGCCTGGCGCCAGTGATTTCAACCTGGAATCTCTCCAAGCTGGTGAGATGACGAACGACATTTCCGAACAAATATCTCAGATCTTCGGCCCAACTTTGACGTTAATGAAACTGGGTGGGCTTTTCTTTGGCGAAACCATTTTGTCCGAGCCTCGGAACTCAAACGCAGGAAAGACAGTGTACCTTTCGCGTTTCTACTGTTTGCTTGTTGTGCTTAGTCTGTGGCTGTTCGTCGTAATCGGACTTACAACTCTTTTTTCTGAAGGTTTCGCTTCCATTGATCTTTTCCTGTACCTGTTTATCATGGTTATCTGGTCTCTGCAGTGTGCTTGCAACGTCACCGTTTGTTTGGCGATGTTGCCTCAAGTGCAATGCAAAAGCGGCTCTCGATTTTCCCAATTTATTGCTTCATTCTCTACGACAACAACTGATCTCAAAGGGCTGAGGCGAAAATCATTGAAAGGTTTAGCTTTTGCAGGAATGGTGTCTTTGGGGAATTTTGCCTTCATTCTACTATGGTCATTTTATCTCAATGGTGTACTGTACAATTACAAACTGTGGAATGGGAACATGGGAGTCTGGATCATCGAAGTTGGAGTTGGAATATACATTTCTTTCGCCTGGAGTCTCCCCTTTCAGCTTTACTACACAACGTGCTTGGTCTTGGAAAGAATGTTTGAAACGCTAAAGGACAAAGTCACATCCAGCCTCGATACAGAAAACCCACTCACCCTCACAACCTTGCGTCAAGAGTATCTGAGATTATGCGAGGTACTCAAGAAGGCTGACAGAGTGTTTTCACCATTCCTGTTTGTAACTGTCTCACTTGATGGACCGATAATTTGCGTCAATTTGTACCAGCTCATCAAGATCACTAAGAATTGGTCGAGCGACCCAAATATGATTTCGCTTTTCGGTTATCTGTTTTGGACTGTTTGTTTGTCAAGCATACTCTCACTCCTATGCTTGTTTGGAAATCGAGTGAACGAGAAGGTAAGATCGAAGGTAGTTAATATTGCAAATTTTAAAGAAAATTGTATTTAAAACTATTTTCATATTTTTTTCGAAACATCAATTAGTTTATCTCTTTATACACGACCCCTCAAGTTAAATTTATAGCTTTAAACCTCTTAGTGTTCAAACGTGTAAACCTTTTCATTGGTGTAACTATATAACCGGTCTATGTGTTGGTGAAAAGAAAATCATAGAAATGTTGTGGTGGTGGTGGTGGTAAAAGCAAATTTATTGAATGGTGGTGGCAGTAGTGATTTTGTAATGGAGGGAAGACAAAAGAAATGTGTTTCTGGTGGCGGTGATGGAGGAGGGAAAACAATTGTGATGGTGGTGGAGAAACAACAATAGAAATGTGGTGCTGATGGTAGTGGTGTGACAAAAATAGAAATTTGGTGTTGCTGGAGATACAACAATATAAATTTGGTGGTGGTGGTGGTTGTAGTGATAGTGATGGTGGAGGAGGGAAAACAATAAGAGGATGTGTTTGTGGTGGTTGTCATGGTTGTGGTGGAGGAACAACATTATAGAAATGCGGTGGTGGTGGTGAGAAATTCGAGAGAAGAACATTATAGAACATTATACAACTGCGATGGTGGTGGTGGTGTTTTCGGTGGAAGGACAACATTAAAGAAATGCGGTGGTAGTGGTTGTTCCGGTGGAGGGGCAACATTTTAGAAATGCGGTGGTGATGGTAGTGGTGGTTCCAGTGGTGAGACAACACTATAGGAATATGGTGGCGGTGGTGGTGGTAATGGTGGTTTCGATGAAGGGACAACATTATAGAAATGCGGCGTGTGGGAAAGCAATAGAAATATAGTGGTGATGGTGATGTTGGTAGTGGTATAATTAAACGTAACAAATTTGACGGGAGCGAAATAATTTATATGCAATATTTCTACGCCAGCAATTAGTAAACCGCAAGTGCAACAACTAGTGTTATCTGCAATGGAAGACACAGGAAATAGTATTTGCTCAAATATGTAAAGGCTGAGTGACGTGACCTGTTTATATTAATGTGCCAAAAAGAAGTGCAATGGTTCTTGGAAAAAAAATATTCTTTTGTTTTACTTGGTACGAATTTTTCATAACAAAAACGGTGTTTACAAACAGCGATATCTTTTCCTTCTAAAACATACATCAGCCAACGAGCACTTTTCTTGACAGACATGTTCATGTTAAACATTAAAAAAAGTTGGACATTCACCGGCCTAAAAAAATAACCAGAAAACCGGTCAAACCGGTCAAACCGGTCAAACCACCTGAAAATAACATACCATCTTATGTTAATGAGCCTCCACCGCAATTTTTTCATGAGATGCAGACAAGAGGTTATAAATTCACCTGCAACTATAAAATATTCCTATAACAATCGATCACTTGTAATGGTTAAATTCGTTTTCAATTGATTGCTACCATTTCTTTTTCAAAACTAAAAACGGGAGAAGCCAAAAAAACTCTTACACCATGACCACATAAAACCTGAGGTAAACCTATCGGAACTTGCTCGATCTTTGGCCCAAGTATCTATGTATTCATTTATTTATCTATTTGTTTATTTGTTTATCTATGTATTAGTTAGTTAGTTAGTTTTTAATAATTGGTTTGTTTACCTACTTTACACATTTTTTCATTAGAGACAATAACGGAGACTCAGGTAACTAAGCTGACCGTCCGTGTCATAGAAACACAACCGCATTCTTACAAAGAGAATTAAGTGGTGATTGAGGCGCGCTCTCAGAAACCGCAACGCGGTTGAACGGGCTAATATGGAGGATCTCATAAAAGATAATACAATCTTATTCATAAACCATTTGCAGTCTCACAGTTTTTACGAAACCTTACAAATGTGGAAAGAGAATCGGCACATCATTGCTCACATGAAACAGTTTCCTCGTTTTGGCTTGTTTCTAATTTTTTTAAAAATCTTTGTTACCATCTTGGCACTCAGACGTACCATGCATACGGAATTAAGTTTGCCTTAGATAATATAATTATGTCAATGAATGCTCCCCAAAATTTAAGAACTCTGAAATGAACTAATGAAAAAAAAACTCGACTTAATATACTTTCGTGTTTCGTGATTCTATTTCCACGACATTGTTGACTAAACTTGAATAATTAAAAACTTTCACTTTTTGATTAAATCATTGTTTGCGCAACTGGTTGAAAAAACTAATAATTGAATATTACGTAACTGCAAGTAGAAGTCTCAAATAGTAAAGGTAACCTTTGGCCGTTTGGACGATGCCTTTGTTTGGTCCCGTATTATAACGGATCAATTTTTTATTTTACTTTTTCTACTTTTTCTAAAGTTCCTATCGCCATGGCCAGTTCATGAGAAGGATGAAAGTGGTAAAATGGAGTCCACTTTTCCACGAATGATGAGATTTTCTTAATTATGATTACATTAACCACCTGCAATGCGTTGAAACTAATGTACTTGTACAGAACATGCAGTATTTTTGTCAGCTCAGCTGATAACGTTCTACACTGAAAGCCCCGTAGGGATCATGCCTATATTTTCTCATGATTACAGTGGAACCTCGATATAACGATGAGCCAGCGTACTGACAAAATATGTTCGTCATATCGAGGTTTTTTTCCATATAGTTTACTACTGCTGGGGTAACGAAAATCGTTCGTTATACCGAGGACTTCGATCGTTATGTAGAGGTTAGTTATATCGAGGTTCCACTGTATAATTATACACATAACTGTAATGACCTCGAGTATACAAGTCATGCAACTTTTATGTTTGTTTTTAATATCCCGGTAATGAAAAAAAACAAAACAAACAAACAAAAGAGGTCGGAATCTTGTATTTTAAAAGGCGGGTGTCCAAATGTTAAAACGCAACACAGATTCTGAAGGTCAGTGCTAGTGTTCGGTCTAGGCTCAAATATCAGATAAAATTGACAAGTTTTAAATGAAATTTCGAACTGAGAAGTACATTAACACAATATAAATAAATTCAGCAGAAAAGGAACTGGCGGAATTATGTTTATTTTGTTTCTTTATTTAATTAGAGAGTGTTGGAAGCACCAGGCATTGATTAATTTTTTTCTCTCAAGAATGCTAAATACACAGTCTTTGTGCAAAGTAGAATTCAATAGCCTCGTGCAGTTAACGACTCGCCATGTCGACTGTAAAGGCAACTGTAATTATATGCATATTATCATATTGCTTCAGTATTTTACCCTGAATAATCACGCTCGATTTTTTGGAGCTTGGAAGAACAACAGCTGTTCATAATCAAAACCGCTTGATTTGGATATTTCTTTGAGTAAATTTAGTCAGTGACTCTAGCTGCTACAGCTCCAGTTTGCTGTCGAGACCATAATGCAACGACAAGTGCTTCCAGAACGCGATTTAGAGGAGGGCAGCCGAAAAGAAAGAAGTGAACCTGGTGTTCCTGGTTTTAGCCTAGGATTTATCCGAGCCGAAGAGATGACGAACGACATCTCCGAACAATTATCGCAGACTTTTGGCCCAACTTTGACACTGATGAAACTGACTGGGCAATTCGTTGGCGAAACCTCCTTCTCTGAGCTTCGGAACTTAAACCCGGGAAAGTCGGTATATCTTTCGCGTTTCTACAGCTTGCTTGTTGTGCTAAGCCTGTGGCTGTACGCCATATTCGGACTGGCAAGTCTTTTCTCTGAAGGTTTCACCTCCGTGGATGTTTTCCTTTACTTGTTTACCATAGCTACCTGGTCTGTGCAGTGTGCCTGCAACGTCACCATTTTTTTGGCGCTGCTGCCTCAAGTGCAAAGCAAAAGCGGCTCTCGGTTTTCCCAATTTATTACTTCATTTTCTACGACAACAACTGATCTCAAAGGGTTGAGGCGAAAATCACTGAAAGGTTTAGCTTTTGCAGGAATGGTGTCTTTGGGAAATTTTGCCTTCGCTCTACTATGGTCATTTTATGTCAATGGTGTATTGTACAAATACAAACCCTCGAATGGGAACATGGGAGTCCGGATCATCGAAATTGGAGTTGGAATATATACTTCTTTCGCCTGGAGTCTCCCCGTTCAGCTTTACTACACAACGTGCTTGGTCTTGGAAAGAATGTTTGAAACGCTAAAGGACAAAGTCGCATCCAGCCTCGATACAGATCATCCATTTACCCTTACCAGCTTACGTCACGAGTATCTACGATTGTGTAAGGTACTCGAGATGGCTGACAAAGTGTTTTCACCATTCCTGTTGGTAACGTTCGCATTGGATGTACCGTTAATTTGCGTGAACCTGTACCAGGTCATCAAGATCACCAAGAATTGGTCCAACGAGGAAAATACGATTTCGTTTTTTGCGCACATGTTTTGGAGTGTTTGTTTATCGAGCATAGTTTCACTCTTATGCTTGTTTGGAGGGCGAGTGAATGAGAAGGTAAGATCACGGGTGTATAAATGGCAGTTTAAGCAAACCTTTTCACTTACAGGCAGCTGTGGCAAAAACCTTTTTAAGCAAATATCGATAAGCAATGTTAGCTAAGAAAAGCAATAGAGGTATCTTTTCAAAAATCTTGACCAAAGCGGCAAATTTAACGACGATAACAAGGGACTTATAGAAAGAAACAAGGAATTTCTCAGCAGCTGGTGAAGACGATTTTGACAAAAGTAACAAATATAGCAAGGAAGCAAAAAGGCAAAAGAGAAATCCCATGTTTATTGCAAGGAAGATGAAACGCAAAGCCGACAATGCTAAGAGGTCTCTCGCCAAGCCTCAAATTTAGGAAGCAAGATTAACCAGGATCAATTAGTCTGCATCTGCAAAAATTGTCAACAAAATCGCTCATTTATGGATGTTAGATTCGTTTTTAATTCGTTGCTTCCAATTTTTTTCTATGAAAAAAAAGTAGTGGCTAAAACATCTTTTACGTCACGACCTAGCGATCGTAACCAATCTAACTTGTTCAGTTTATCGTTGTCACCAGCGCGCATTTCGTAGCCTTCGCTATCTCGTAATCCGATTACGTAATCTGATCACGCGCGTTTTGGCTTTTCAAAATCACGTGAAACTTACGGAACGCCCAACGTATGGTTATTATCAATTTATCAATTAATTTACTCATTTATTTATTCAGTTAGTTACTAGTTAACCAGTCAGTTAGTTTTAACTTATACTGTCTACCAGTTTAACCAGTCTAAAAGTTTCTTCATTAGTGTCCAGCCTCCAGACAGGTAACTCGGCTGGCCGACCTTGTCACACACCCGCGCTCTTACAAAGGAAATGGTGGTGATCGACAAAGGAAATGGTGGTGATCGAGCACGCCCTCGGCAACGCATTTGAACGTACTAATCAGTATGGAAGGTCTAAATCATGATTTAAATCAAATAACATATTATTTGCAGGCTCACAGTTTCTACGAAACCTTACAAATGCGCTACTTTCCTGCTCAGGACATCAAAGAACACTCGGAAGTGAGTACAATGACGACCTTTTGTTTTTCCTTTTTAAAAGAGAAATACAGCCAATACGCTTACAGATCTACTTCTAACTTCCACTGACAGAGATTAAGCGAGGTACAACTTTTACATGAACGCTAGCCTGAGTTTCATTTCCTCTCCCCCAATGCTCAAACTGCGTTTGCGCACAACCTGCTATATAATAAATTGCCTTTATTTTATTTACGTGCGTAAAATTTGAGTATGTGGCCCGAAATCCACCTTAAAAGAAGCTTTATAAATAAGGTTAGTCATTTCTCCGAATATTTATCATATCATATGAAAAGCTGCACTGACCTCAATCTTGGCGAAAATATAAGCTTATCTCCTTTCATTTCCCAGAGTCTAGACTATATCTATTGAACGGGTTTGGGTTTATATTTCTGATGATGTGATAGCGAAAACCAGAAACTTACTCAAGCGATCTTTTTAAATCTGTTTTTCCTCAGTTGGTGCTGTTCCTTGCGCATGTCCAGGGAGAGCCCATTGGTTTATCTGCAGGAGTATTGTCGGTGGTCAACAAGTCGTTCTTCCTTACGGTTAGTTTAATTTAGTTAACTGCCGTATTTATTTTTGCCCTGTATTTTTTTTGCCCTTGACGGCTTTACTAACAATCAATCCAAATCCTCCAAACAAAACTTCTAATCAAAATTTTCTTATAAAATCAAACTGTACCAAAATGTAACTTTCGATTGGACACAAAGGGAAAAAAAATAGTATGTCATGTTCTCAGGGTCTATTTTCTCCTAGTCTTCTCAGGAAGAGACTGTTGATGGGTAGGAAATATTCACAGGAAAAATCTTTGCACGCATAATTAAATACAAGATCGAGCAGTATGGAGCGTACCGAATTAACCCCCCTTCTGTGGGCAGGAACGCTATTAAGGAGGACATGAATACATCAACGCCGATGTTGTCATAGCTTTTTGTCTCTCTTATGAATTAAAATGCAGGGGAATCCCATCAAGATAAGGTCATGTACGCGTTTATAGCAGGTCTTATACCTTAAAGGTATTCCTGCATGAAAAAGGGTTAACCGTCGGCGAGTCCTACACTACTGAAGCGAATTAGAAAATCTCCAAAGGGCACTTTACCCTCACCGGAAAGTTCCAGAAGCATCTGTTTTTCGTTTCACTGATTGGTCAGTTTTCATTGAACTGGTTTTTCAAGGGATTTATGCAGAGGGCTGGGCGTCTCCTGCTGCTCTAGCTTGTAAATCTTGTAGGAAGTTTTTGAGCAACAGGCGTCAGCCGGAAGTGAGCCTTTTTCTATTTATATAATAGAGACCTCTGGATTCTAAGACGAGAACGACTACGAGTACGAGATTTTCTCAATAGTAAGTAGTGCTCGCGCGTGAGGCAGCGTCAATTTGGCGGGAAAACATGGTAGCCGCCGTCATTCTACTAAGAGTTTTAGCGAGAGTGTCGTAGTGGCGGGAACAAGTTATCAAATGTTAGACGTTTTAGCATTTTGCAATCGGGAGAGGTCTTAACCTCCTTTAATAACGATAACAGTACTTACTTTTCTGGTGAAAAAAAGTACAATGATGAGTTCTGGGGTGTCTATTTTTTGACAGTACGTGAAAAAACTTTAAATCAAATCTCGTACTCGTGGTCGTTCTCGTCCTCGAATCTAAAGGTCTCTAATTATGCCTTGACACTATCAACTTTGTATGGCTTAGTGTCGACTTTACCCTTATATATAGAGAAGATTTGCCCAAGAATTTGTTCAAATATCACGACCGAAGAGTTCAAAAAGTCCACTTCCGGAGTTCATGAACGTCGTTGCTTTATTACTCTCTAATATTGAACATATTTCCGCTTGACTTAAGACCTAGAACTATGAATCGCTGGAAAAGTAGGATAAAAATTTTAGGCAGAGGAGCGACCTTTAATAAGTTCTGTAGAAACCTTATATAATTGTTCACATTTATTATTTTCTTGGTTTCAGCTTGTTGGAATAATCGCATCGTATTTTGCCGTGCTGTTAACTTTACCTTACTGAGTGAAGATGAAAATTCCTAGCACTCACACAAATCTAATATTAAAACTGATTAACATGCAATAACAACAATATATTCTGATATACTGGATATTTATCGACAAATAATTAACTGTTTTTACTTGTAGGTTCCTTTACCTATATTCTGTTGTGAAAAACGTTAATTTGCAAAGATTTTACGTATGGAGTAATCTCTAGATGCAGAGAATCCTTAAATATCTGCTTTTTTTGTTCCGGTCATTTTTATGTTGGACGTCTGCACCCTTTGTCCAGTGCTGCCAGCAGTATGCAGTTGGCAGATTTAGCAAAGACTACTCAATTATGGTGAACATGGCGCCGGCAGTTAAAACCGAGCTAGTTGGCCTATGGCAGAGCAACTCAACTTGCTAAAATGATTGTACGGTGTTTTATGGGGAACAACAGAATTCGGCAAAAGGAAGAAAATTGACTCCACGGTAGCAATAAGGACAAATTATTAAATAAGTAAAAATTATAATGTAAGGAGGCACCATTAGTTTAAACAGCTTTATGAACAAAATTCAACACCTTAACAGACCTATTTAGATGTATAAAAATAAAATATAATAAATCCGAAGAGGACAGACTATGAATATTGTTTGCTTCGGCGACTATGCAAATGTAGTAACTGTTCATCAATGGGATGCCCTCGAAAATGCGTGCCATCAGTCCACAAATCCTATACGAGCTTCAAAACATTTAAGGAGAAGCCACCCAGAAAGTGACCAAAGTTGGACACGAATAAATGCAAATTATATTAATTTAAATATATCTCGCCGATTCAGTTTGAAAACGAAATTCGCAGTCATTTGAGTCAAAAGGCGTTAAAAGGCAAGTTTCCTGAGCCCGAAAAGCTCGAAAATCACAGTAACGAAGAAAAAGGAAAGGAGAAAAAGAAAGAGCGAGGAGAAGAAAAAAAAACAATGGTTGCACTATTAGTTTTTATAATAGCTACTTTGGAGATGGTTTTTGGCCGAAAGAAAACTGTTGGACGCAAAAGGTCCATTTGGCGATAACGTTATCAAAAATCCGAATAGCCGACTATAATTGTACAAGAAATTCCAATATTTTTAAAAATATTTCCTTGTCGAACTAATATTCGAAATTCTAAACAGTGGATAAAACTGACGGTTTGTTTGGCAAACGACTTCAGCAACTCTTTCCTTCTTTGTCACATACACTCTTTGTTGAGCTACATACTTTTTCATTTCCTTTGTCTGATTTTATGCGGAATCCATTCTTCGTCCAGTACCCTTAATCATTCACATGGTCTACCCTATATTCTTAGGAGTCCTGTAGTTCATAAGTTCCCGGCTTCTATGTAGTCTTCCTTGTCATTACCATTTTGAACATTTTTAACATGATCTATTTTCTAACACCTTTTTAAAATATTATAAATTTATTGTGTTTTATGTGGTGAACGGCAATGAAAATAAATGTATTAAATGAATGAATGAACCCGCTCGTTTTCTTTCGTCTTTGGTGCTAAAAATTCACCAGAACTTCAACGTTTTCTATAAATGACCACGGGCAGGAGCCCATAATTTGCCTCCTTTCTAATTTCGATTCCCTTTTGCTTGTTGCGTTCGATGTTGGGAGAACGCAACACAAAATCTTGGAATTCCTGTGGTTCAAGTCTTGTATTCTGTATTCATTTTTCTTTTATAGCCCCAGTTGAAGGTTTGTTTTGAAAACCAAAATAATGGGCAAATATAACTCACCTCGTTATGTTTGTTTTCTCTCGTTATTGTTTCTATCAGTCTTCCTGCCTTAAGGGATCACTTTACTGTTTTAAGTTTAATGTATGTTCTTAGGTACTCAAGTCGCGCGTCTGCATTTTCTGCGCCATTTTGAATAATTGAGCTCTCGTTAATACTGAAGATTGTAGGAGCTATGCGCAAGTGTATCACCCTGGTTCCCAACAAGGTCAACAACATGTTACAACTATGCCAAAAGCACAGAGTTATTTGAGTTCGGCAAATGAATTAACTTTGGAGTTTTCGAAGCGAGTTTTATCGCTGAGCTGGAGATTCTGCTTCACAACATTTGAGCTGTGAGGAATTTACCCGTGTCTTTGAGTCTAGTTAAATATTTGTAGTTTTACTTCCCACATGCACGAAGAAGAATTTTACCCGCGTATTATTGATTATGTTTATTGTACATGTAACGCTTTTTTATTCACGTCCAGTATCTGCCAGTATATCTACGCGAGATCTTGTTGATGAGACAATCTCGCTCGCCAAGCAACATAAGCTTAAAACATTATGAACTGAAAATATGAAGATGAACAGTTCGCACTATGGCAACAGATTTTGTCCGGTTCACTAACATCTGTAATCTCGCAAACCCCAATTATTTTTTCTGTGTCACGCAAGAACCCAGGATAACCTTTCAGGCTAACATGCTTTTGACTTTTGTAGTGATATGTTTTTCTTTTTAACAAAATAGAACTTTTCACGATCCTCTTCACTTTTTCATCGACCATACTTGGGAGACAGTATGCCCTGAGAGCGGAGGTTTCTCTTTTGCATGGCTTTAATTTGGCGTTTTTATGAAGTCGTTGGCGTCGCTTGTCAGAAAAATTCATGATCGTTATCCCTATTTTGAAATAAAAGTTGAAGGTATAAAAGCTAACCTGGAGCTAAGAAAACTCGAACGCACTTATTTATCTATGATCCCATCCCCCTTTGACATCCCATGGCCCAGTGAAGACTCGCCTGGACTCGATTGCCCGCGGACCTATAAGCACGAGCGAGATCTGGGTACAAGATATTTGCTGACCCATTGAAGTCTGCGAAATTTTCTGTCTCAGGCCAGCGATGTCAACAAAAGGTTGTGACAGGCCTACACGGACTCCCCTCGTGAGTTGCGATAGCGATGCATTTTAGCCTTCAATTATATTTTCGCTCTAACGAGCGTGTCTTTTAGGGATTTACCTCTCTTATATGATATAATCGGAGGTTTAGTATAGATGTTTTTCAGTAACGGCTGGTTTTGTATTACAACCGAGTTATTTATTAGAATTTCTTTTAGGCCACGTACTGCCAGGTGATATGTCGTGACAACTGGCAAAATTTTCGTTTGAGTCTTTTTTCTTTGTTGGAGAGCCAACCTTCTCTCCTCGAAGCGGACTCCTGTTAGGGCCCTCTCGATGAAGTTGTTAGGATATCCGCGCGCTTTGAGGCGCAGTTTGAAGTTTGAGAGGCACTCTTCAAAAGTAGTTTGTGAAGAGTTTGTTCTTAGGAGTCTCGTCGCTTCGCCTTTGATAAAACCTCGTTTTACACCCCGGGGGTGGCAGGAGGTAAAATGCGTGTATTGTAAGGTTTCTGTAGGCTTGTAATGGGTCTTGATGTCGAGGATAGAGTCAGTTTGAAATCTATCTATTGTGTCAAGGAAAGTAATTTGATCGAAGGGTGGACTTGGTTAGCTTGTTCAATGAACAAATTGTCTTGCTTGCTTTTATTCCATAGGGAGAAAACGTCATCGATGTAACGTTTCCATTCTATTGGCTTGACTCTGCTTTGGTAGATGAGTTTTGTTTCAAATTCTGCCATGAAGATGTTTGCAAAAGCAACTGCCATTTTAGTACCCATGGCAGTACCGTGCGTTTGCAGATAGTTTTCACCATTGAATTGGAATGAATTTTCCTTTAAGATTAAATTAAGAATTTTCCTAAGGTATTTGGTCGGGATTGGGGGGTTGTTATTGTGAAAAGTGTCGTATGCCCGACATACTGTCGTTATTCCCTCCTCTTGTGGTATATTTGTTTACAAGCTCACGACATCCATAGACACTAGAATAGTGTCTTGGTGTATTTTGGTTCTTTCCATAAAGTTAATAAAGTCTGTAGAAT